AGAATTGCGTTTTCCAGGACTATTGGAGCTTTCCTGCCTTCTGTTTTGTTTCTGGTTTGTTTTTGGTGAAGACTGAGCACACAGTGCACAAACGTATTGAGTTTGGCAGCTTAAAACATTAGTACAGGAGAGTGAATGCTCTCTCCTTGCACACCCATATTCCAGCTGGGAGGTCATGCATTAGTGCTATCATGTCTTTAACTCAGTATGTGTAAGAGCATGCGCTTGAATACTTCTGACTGATGGGTGGTGATAGTGTGTACTTTCATAGTGTATGATACACACCCATATCCTTAATTTTCATTCAGCTGGTTGTATATCTTGTGAGTTTTCTGTGTTGAGAGCTACCAGAGTGGAGCAGTGTGTACTCTGGAAAGTACTGAATGCATGTCAGAGCTCAGGACGGAAGATGAGGCTGAAAAACCTTGAAGATGTGCCAAGCTCCTTCAAAGGCTGGTTTGGCTTGATGGGCCAAAGGTTAGTTGGGTTTCTGCAGATAGCATGTGGTATTGTTTGTCCAGTAAGAGCTGCTCTGGATGGAATTTTGGGGTCACCTCCTGCTGGTTTTAAGCTTTATTATGCAGTACTAATGCAAATAAATGTGTTGAGTTTTATGCATACTTTTTATTTTGTATAGATTTTAATTCTGTGGCTTGTTTGGGGATGATGTGATGTTATGGTCATGGACCAGGCCAAGGTAAACAGGCTTTGTGTATTAATGTTACATGCATGCTAGTGAAGTCAGTGAGGGTTGTGTTTCCAGTTTTGTCCCTTGTATGTCTTCTCCAAAACCTTCACCCCATACCTCCTTATTTACATATGCTCCTAAAAGGGGGGTAGGGGAGAAGTGTGGAAAAAACCCTCAGTATTTCACATGGATGCACAACTTCTCTTCACTGAGTTCTGCTGCCATAGTAGGAGGTGTTCTGCATCACAAGCTGTTGATCAGAGCAGCAGGTGTGCATGAGAGGTAGGGGAAGGAGACACTCCAGGATAGGCCAAAGAGTGCTGTATGGCCAAAATGAATGTTTCTCCCTTCATGAGAGCTGTGTTAGCCCAGCCAGATGTTTTCATTGTGCACGGGAATCTGTAGCTGTGGATTTTGCTTTGGTTTGCTGTAGCAGAGTTCTTCCTTGCTCTTGGCCCCCTTGGGACAAAGCTATTTACAGCTCTCCTTCTGCCACATGCCTGGGTGAAAGGCGGTCATAGACTGTCCCCAGCTAGTGTGGGTGCAGGTTATTTTCATGCCTTTGTTCCTGAGTTGCTGGGGTTGCATGTGTCTCATGTTGTTTTTTGCGTGTGTGTTTTTTTTTTTTTTCCTTCAGATTGCTTTTCTTTGTTCCCCTCACTGGCTGTTGCAGCAGCTGGTTGAGAGTGGCAAGAAAACCAAGCTGGCCGTTTTATGCCTCTGCATCCTGACCGCACCTCTATGCCCAGTAGCTGGAGCAGGCACTAGAGGGCAGAGGCAGTGCCGGGGGACTTGCTAGCCTGACCTGTGAGAGCTGCGCAGACACGGACATTGACAAGCTGCTGCTCTCACTGGAGGGCAAGAGGTGGAGCATGGCCCTTGTCTTGTAAGAGATAACAGGAACTTGAGTTGAGGTTTCCTGGAAGTGGGTGGAAATTGCTGCTGGTGTGCACCACAGCTCCCCCACCATCCCTCTGGTCTCTGGCTGGGTGTTTTACCGGGGTGGCAGGAAGGCTGAGAACCAGCTAGCCCTTGCTAGAACAGGTTGTTCTCCTTTCATGCCTCCTGAGAACTTTTTCTTTGCTGTTTGAGGGCTCTCGCTGTGCATTGCTTTCTGGAGTAAGAGGATGTGCCTGTCTTCTGCTTATGCCAGCATGCCTGTCTCAGCAGACCCAGCGCCGTGTTTGCAAATGAGCAGAATGCTTGGTCCCCTGCTCTGCGTGGTTCTTCAGCGCTCTTCGTGACAGCCAAGAACCAAAGGGTACGATGGCAGCAATGCAGCGTCTGCCAAGCAGCACTTTTACCTTGGGCTTTTCAGCTGCCTTTGGGAAGGGAAGCAGCGACAGGACTGATGCTCCTTTTTGGACAGAGGGTGTGCTGCCCACCTGCTGCGTACCTGTGAGTTGCTGACTGGTGGTGGAGGGTCATGCACTGGTGCAGCCTATTGTGCTTCTGGGGTGTCTCCTACCTGTGTCAGAGGGTGGCAAGTTGCTGCGGTGCTCTGCTCAGCAGCTTCCAGCAGTTCCCAGTGAACGCTGTAGATGTGCCTCTCTTCACGAGGAATAAGCTCACTTTTAATTATGTCTCTGGCTGTCAGGCATAGATCAAATGCAAAAGTTTTACATTTTCATGTGGAAAGGACAGGACTTTTCTTTGGTTAATAATCTGGTGGCATTTACAGGGCAACTTGTTTGAAGCTGCTAGAGGAGGCTGTTGGGGACTGGTGCTGTGGCTTCTGCTGGGTTTATTAGCATTGAGTGTAGTCACTGACTGAGGACTGCAGCATTTCAGTAAATTTTGCAAAACCCATACAGAGTACTTAGTCAGACAAGCCTTTGCTGGCAATAGTGGCAGTGGGAAATGTGCAGAACTGTTGTGGTCACTAAGGCAAATATTTAATCTTGAGAAAAGGCAGTGTTGTAAAACAGTATGAGCAGGTAGATGATGGTTTATAGCTTATAGGGACCCATGTTGAAGAATTTACTGTGTTTATGGATATATTTTCCACCTTCCTCACCCTTTGGCATCACTCAGTATTAGGCACAGCCATAGTTTGTGGCTAAAATGGTATTACACAGAGGTCAGAACAGTGCAAGAGGGGAACAATTTTTCTTTTCAGTAGCTGAAGTCACGATGGAGCAAGAGTCCTTTCAATATTTTTTTTGAAAGTACAAGAGTAGCGGGACCTTCGTCTCCTTTCTGTGGGAAGGTTGTTGAATGCTTGATGCGGCCAAGGTTTGCCAACTGCTGTTACAAGTAATAATTCACAGACCACGGTGTTCTGCTGCTTTCATTCAAAGAAAAGAACCAATGTGTTTTGTGCACCCTCCTGTGAATGCAGGAACTGTTTTTTTTTTTCTTTGGTACTCTGAACATACCCGTTTTATTAATACCTTTGCTTATTCCAAGATGAGTTACAAAAAGGTAAAGTCAGCAGCCCGTTGGCCAGAGGTAAGCCTAGGCCCAGCATCCTGCTGAATACCTGTGTGGTGACTGCTGAAATACGTGCAGTGTAGTTGTTCCTATTTCTCTTAAAACCTCAGACAAATCCTACCACTATCTACTAATGAGGAAGAGCTTTGTACAAATTCATTTCCATTACAGCGCCTTGCTAAAGTGCTGATGTCTAGATTTTTTTTTTTTTCTGTAAAGCCCAAGTGCTTCTTTTCACATTTGAAAAAGTGTCTTTTGCAACTTGCATGGACAAGTAGTTTCTATGAATTCTCTGGAAATGTTAGTGTCTAACATGGATCTTTTGTCCATGTACTTTTTTTCTGAAAGCAGAACCCCCACACACACCGTTGGTTTGCAGTCAGAGGAGAAGCACCCTGTGCTTTTGATTTTGGCACTGCTGATGCAGTGGATGAGTGCAGAGCCCACTGTAAATGATCAAGCCTGCAGGACTCTGGGGAGCTGTGTGCCGCCAGTAACATTTTATTGTGTGTGCCATTTGAACCACCTTCCAAGTGAGTGCAAAACCCAATTTTTAAATTTTTTTAATTGTACTTGGAATTAACTGTTGCTGTGTACTAAACCCTCTTGTTACGAGCCCTAAATAAAAAGAACAAAGCACACACCATGTGTTCTGTCACCTTGTGTTCTGTGAGTGTGCCACTGCTGCGTCACATTCCTTGTCTTTTGCTACAGACTTTTCAACATGTCGAGGCTGGGATAAGTAGCTTGTGTATGCAGCCCTGTTCCAGAGGAGCTCTGAGGTCAGCCCTTCCTGAGGTCAGCACAGGTATGATGACTTGCGTCCAGCCCGCTGCCTTCAGCGGCTGCTCTCTCTACTTCTGTATGACTGCCTTTCCTGCAGTTACCACTGCTGGGTAGCCAGCTCTTCTTCCAGCACAGGGCACCCATGCCATGTTCACAGCTCTCAGCTGCCATCCTGTTGTACCAGCTGTAGGCTCGGCTTCGTCTGAGCTGGCTGGAGAGCTGTTTTCCCTTGCTTTTCCCAAGTAACATTCTGCACTACCAGTGTTTAGGCAGAAGTCCTTTCCTCTGGGCCTGCAGGAACACAAGAGCTGCTCTTCTTTCAGCAGTGACATGTCTGCCCTGGGGCTGTGACACTTGCTCTATGTGCTGTGTCCTGTCCAGCTCCGAACTCCTTGTGGTATGCGCACAGCTGTGCTGCTTGTGAATTCCTTTCACTGAGCTGCATTCCCTCTCCAGTAGGTGAGAGCATGCACTGCAGCTGCTGCTTCCCAAGGATGGTGTTCCATCTCCTGGCTCAAGGCAGAGACTAGCTCAATTACATGCAAGTCCAAGTACCTCTGTGCCTCTAAGAATGACTGCCCCACACAAGCAGGAATTCCAGTCGGAGTTCCTATAATCCTGACTTTCAAATCCCTGCAGTAATAGCTCATGACTGCTGCACGGCTAGCCTATGGGCGGCCCTGAGGGAGAGATGAACAGAGCTGAATTCCCTACAGTGGACCCCAGAGAGGGGCTGCACCAGCACTTACCAGCCATCAGCTGTTCTTGGGTGAGCAGAGATGTACAGAGTAATGCCAGGACCCTGCACGTCTGGGGAAGCACGCAGATGGAAAAGGTGAGCCTTCACTTTGGGTCCTCTTTAGACCTGTAGCTGCTGTGCACCTTGTTACTGGTACAGCCAGGTCTGACCCACTGGAAAGAACTGTGTAAAGGAACAATAAATAGCAATTTTATCAAGTGTGAGCACAGAAACTGTAACCTGTAGGCTGTCAGATATCTGATCTCTAAAGGGGAACCACTGGTGCCCTTAGAACACAATGTGGGCTCTGAACTGAAACAGAAAAAGGGCAAGACAGAGGATTAAAACAAATTATTAAATTTAACTACATCTTTATTGAATTGTGCATATTCCATTGTATAATGATCTATATTGGGTACTCTATAATGTAGTATTTCTTTTGTCCTCTCTCATGCTTAAAAAAGTATATTTATACATATATTTATATATATTTATAATATGGCAAAGCTCCCCCCAACCTGAAGCTATCAGTCTAAAAGAGCTTTGATTTTTCTTTTTGGAAAGGGAAGAGGGGAGGCAATCCCACTGAAAGATAAAATGTGCAATTTTCTTTTTAAAGCAGTAAACATGAATGTATTTATAGCACTCAGCACAAGTTTGCTGTACAGAAAAATCATCATTGCAATGACACTTTTTTCTTACATTTGCATCCCCAGTATTATACAGGATATCACCAGTGGCCGCTAACAATTAGTGTAAGCCATAAAACAAACTGCTACCCCAGTTAATTTCTGGTCCACGGCAGTCCACTAGAAGGAGAACTAAGATTTCAGTTACAACTTGTGAAATAATTTAATTTTCCTTTTTTTAAGTACAAGCTTTATAGTGCTGCACCAAATCAGCAGTGAGGGAGCCTCTGGGCACAGGTTCCCTCGCTAAACTGCCCTTTGCCCCCACTCCTTGCAGATCTGTACCCACAGTTACCAAAGGCAAGAGATGCACAAGAGCTGGCAGCAGCAGCCCTGCTCCCTTACCAAACAGCAGCTGCAGCCCCTGTCCACTTGGCTCCAGGACCAGCTGGTGCAAGAACATCTGTGTACCTGAAATTTAGCTCTGAATGCATCTTTGGCATCTTAGGAAAGGTGAGAGGAAACCATTTTCCACTGTAGGGAACAGTTGGTTCCATTCCTAAGTGTCCTCACAGATGAGTTGCCTTTAAGCGTTAAATAAGGGGGTTTCCAAAATCTCTTCCTCAAGTTCCTTCTCACACATTCCCCTCACAAAATCCCTGCTGTGGGGGACTGTGCATACATATAGCACCAGTTCCTGTTCCTCCAAATTCTTCTCTAGTTCACCTCACCAAGGATGTACAATTCTCCTGAAAAGAGAGCTCACTGAATCCTTTCCCTACTCAGTGCCTCGGAGCACCAAATAGCCACCAGCCCAAATAACTACTTTTCCTATGTTAGTGGCAATTAACTTTACTTATGACAACTAGGCATGTGTTGTCACCTCATTTGCAATTTAGTGTCTTAAACTTTTCAAAACTAGACAAAGCCTGTGACTCACAGTATCACAGTATTAGTGAGTGGTAACCCCTGCAATATAATGCTGTTTTTGTCACTCATATATGTATTTTTTATATATATATATATATATATATATATATATATATATATATATATATATAAAATTGAAGGAGATAAATAATTCAGAAAGGAAAATTATTCAATTTCAGAGCAATGTATATTTCCAAACAAACTTTTAAATTAACCAGCATATTACAGAAACATCTATGGAAAACCTGTAGTATTAAATACTCTCTGGTTTGGAGCCTGTCCCAAGTAACCAAGGGTCTGCAAAGCTAAACACCAGAAGCCAGAAAATGGGGCTTGGGGAAGCTCCTCTCCAACACAGGTAAGAGTCCCCTCACCCCCCAAATTAGGAGCACTGTTTGAACAAGTACAAAATCTAAACCTTAATAAAAGAAAGGCCAAAAAAAAACCCACCACCCACAAAACAACCAAAAAACCCTCAACAAACAAACAAGCAAACAGCCCTCACACGTTCTGGCTGCACCATCACTACCTTCTGTCAGGAGTTTATATTGCTTTTGTGTTTGGTCTGAGGCAAAACTCCAGAAAAGCATCTATGCTGACAAGGTGGAAGTCACGTACGCATATACCAAACAGAAAATCCCTTTATAAACTTCTGCTGCTACATTAAAATAAATGATAAAAACCAGGAAGAGCATCAAGTCTTGGAAATTCTGTGTGACAAATCAAACGGAAATGCCAATACAGCTCTAAGAAGAATTCGGCTCTACGTTAACAAGATTTTCAAATGGTAAATCTAATTCTCTAACACAGTAAGTGTTCCCCAGCAATAGTTAAAGCCAGTGAGCCATACAATGCCCCAGTTAATCAAGGAGATGCAACTGCTTGTAACATGACTCTGTATTAGACATAATACTTGTAATGAGACCCACTTACTTACTATCTTACTTTGAATAAGAAATTATTTTACCTGTAACGGCACCATTGAAGTATAACAATTTAGTTCTATGTGGTTTTCTGTAATAAGCAGAAAATTTCTCTCTTTTGCCCTTCTGTTGTTGAAACGGCACTTTTGGTTCCTTTAACTGTGGAAAAAAATTTTAACCCAGAGCAAAACTGGCCACACGCTTTCTCTGAGCTGATTTGTGCTACCTGGTTGCTTAAGAGCACAGGGCAAAGGAATTAGAAAAAAACAGCAACAACAAAAAAAACTCTAAATGTGCAACTCCACAACAGTGAATTGTAAAATGCACTTGTTAAAATATTGCTCCCTCTCCCATCAGCCCTGAAACCAAAGTGATTCAGGTACCTTGACTGTTTCCCTGATGTGTCTGTCAATCACTCCATGCTGCCCTACAGGAAATCGCACAGTAAGTTCAGGAGAGGAGCTCTTTGGCTTTGAGGTCATGCACTAAGTTAGAGCAAGCAGTGCTTTGCTGCAGGAGGAAGCCACTGCACAGGGGAAGCAGGAGCTTTCCTCTTCCATGTACAATAACTGTTTTTTGTTTTTTTTTTTTTAAATTTATTTCTTTACTGTGAGACATGTGCCTAACCTCCTCCCCCAAACACAGATTTTGAAAGACAAAACAGAACCACCAGCATGTCTACCTCAACCACGTTACCAATGATTTCTTCAGAATGACGTGCTCAAAAGCTTTTCTTGTTACTAACATTTTCCCTCTATGATTAGTGCTGTTATGAGGGCCTAGTTTTTCTTTCCAAAGCAATTCCACAAGAGCTGAATTAAACTGGAGTGCCTGAGAAGCCCAGGTTCCTGCTTTCTACAGCTGTGCTGCATGTGCAGAGAACCTCCCCTCTCTGCTGGCTGAACAGATCCCTGCTACCTGCAAAGGTGGATGCTACAGCTGCTTGGCAGAGAGGAAACGAAGAACAAAGAATGCAGCTGTCAGCTCTCAGCTCCTCCTGCAGGAGCAGGGCTTTCCCTCACATACACATTAAGTGCCAAAGGGTATACACACTTCATCATGCCACATAACTACAGCTCTACTCTCTCAGTATTTTAGGATAAAAGCATCTGCTATCTGTGGGTCCAGCGTATGAGAGCTCAGCTCTCACACACTCATTTTAGTAGTGCGAAAAGGATTACTGCCCCTGTTTGTAGCAAGAAGCATCTTGCTTTGTGTGAGCTTTGGCCCCTTTATTTTCTGATTTTACAAGTTAAAATGGTACAATTCTGAGACCAGAGCACAAGGGGAAAAAATAACTTACTTGCAAATAAGGCATATTGGCTGTCATAAAACAGTAAATAAACTGGAAAAGCAAGTTACATTGACAGGATCCAAAAAGCTGAAAAGACAACCAGGTTGTCTGAATCACTCTGTATCCAAATTTCAGCACACATCTGAGACAAAGCTGCAGCCACTCACATTTTCTGTATCACTAGTGACTGATGAAGTACGTTCTACTAAGGATGCAATCTTGCAACCTTTGCCAACACTCACTCTTTTTGCTGCGAACCTTGAGTTAAACTTCTGTCTCCCAGCAAGCTGTTAAGCAGCCTGCAACGTTAAGCATGGATTCATTGCCTTAGGGGGAGATACTGGGTAAATGAAACTGGGCACAAGAACAAAGTTCAAACGCCTCTGAAAAAACTGCACTTAAAACATTGCTCTGCCAAGTGCAAATCCTAGAGGTACCCGCACTGAGTGAACAGGAGAAAAAGGGCTGCAACCATCACCCACCAGTGGAGCTAGCTATCTTGTAGGGAAAGGAAAACGGAGCAAGAATTCCCTGACTGATTCTCATCTGGGAGCATGTGCTGTGTCAGCCCAGATGCACCCCATCAGGGAGTAGAGGATTTGTCCACTTACCTATCATCAGTAACGGCTGGGAGTTACAACTGTATTTGCACACCTTCTGCACTGGTGGGTGTGAGCCCCAGGAACTGCATACAGTACAAAGCAGCAGCAGGACCAACGTAGAAAATTACAGCACCCATGAATTGCAGTATAGCTTAATCTTCCTGCGAAGTTACTTGCCAGCTATACTGACCATGCTTAAAATCAACAATGCAAATGCTGTTAAGGACACTTGATAAGCACAAAAATAGTAGAAACAAAACTTTGTGAACAATTTGAAAGATACAAAAAAAGTGCCTTTCCATATAGCAGTGCTTTAAAAATGCACACAATGGTATATTGTTATTGCTCAAAAAAACTAGTCAGAAATATTAAAACAATTTCCAGAGGTGCTGAAATAGATTTTATAAAATTATATGAAACAGGTCAATAGAGCACCATTAATTTTTCTCTTTTCATGATGCACTTATTTAAAACTATATAGTTATAGATGTATCATTTTTCCCCTCTAATTGGCAAAACCTTTTTCCTATTCATAAATTATTCACAAATACATTAATTTTATTATTTGGATTTAAAAAAAATAAATAAAAAAAGGAATAGGGGACACTCACAATATTTCTTATCAATCTGAGTTACTCTAATGAGAGATTAGTTTCCATCTTGTTTTTACACACTTGAAGATACTGTGAGGTTAAGCTACTTCCTTTGATTCACTTTTTGGGGGAGAAAAGCATATAGTATTTGCTTTTGGAATAAAGGTAAACAGTAGAATCCTTTGCCATCTGAGCCTTGACAGTATCCCTGTAATGACCAGGGAAGTTAACGACTGCAGATGGCATAGGTACAGTCCAAGTATTTTAGTTAATTTAAAAAGATTGTGTACCACTACCCTGTAATGAACATGCATAACACCCAAGACCACTTATCCTAATTACAATACCTTATTGTGTCCAATATGTAGGTAAGACTGTATAATCAAACTCCTGAAATACAAGATGAAGGACGCTAGTACTTGATACGGTGATTGTGACTCGGTAGCAATAAAAAAAAAAAGCAAACATGATAAACTATTTCCTACTCATACGGCTCCTTAAATTAAACTAATAGCAAATGTTATTGCCTCTCAAAGATTTTTTTTCCAGTCCTCTCCCTTGACTGCTATAAGTGCAACTTCATAATTAACAGATTTATGCATTGGTCAGAGCCCCTGGCAGGTCAAAGAAAAGAGAATTCCAGCTGTGCTTAGCCTGAAATTACCATTCCCTTCTCTCTTTCTAGAAAGACAAGTTTCCTGACAGTTTCTAATGAATTACAAACAACACTGTTTCCAGACACTTGTTTTTTGTAAAGATAATACATCTTATCAGGCACAGACAATGTGAGACTGTACGCTGTGTCTGTGAGAACAGAGCGCTCTCTACAGAAACCTACCTGTTCATTCAGGGAAAGAATGACACGCACAAGTGATGGATCCACACAGGTCAGGCTTGTGAGTCGGCACTGATTGCAGGAGTCCTGGCAGCTTTCAGAAGGGGTTAACACAAATGGTCATCTTGTGCCATAAAAACAAATGATCGAGCCTATTATAAACTTAAAATGCATAATGGATTGGAATAATACACATTTATCCTAGTTACTTCATGGGCAAGTAATTTTGAATTATTTTGTAGCAGTGTATATTTTTAAACTATTTGGAAGGAAGGGGGAGGTTCTTTATAGTATAAATATATTTCACTCCAGCCCACTACATATAAAATCTATTTTCTTTGTCAGAACATACTCATTTTCAGTAGTATTATGACCAGAATGTTTTGGTATGTTGAGTCTGTATTTTTCAATCAAGGACCAATGTACAACTACTAGCAGAACACCTCCACTTTACACCATTATTTACCCATCACAAACTGCCAAAAGGTTTGTGGTGCTTTTTTTTCCCTACTTTTTCCTTCTTCCTTTCTTTAAAGTGCCCTCTACATCTTCATCTTATACGGTAAGATTTGACTGGTTACAGAGTCTGATTCCCAATAATATAGTGACTGAAACAATAAATACGGCTCTACAAAAACATTCTGGTTATCTTCTATAATTGCGACGAAATATATCACAATATATTATATACCTACACTTATAATACATGCACAAACATGTCTCACATGGACAGACACTACAAAAATTATCTTCCCCTCAATGCAGAAAAAGTAAGAAAAAGGGATTTTGGTCCAATCCATACGAAGGGTAAAAGAAATCGAAAGGATTAAGTTGATGCCTCTTCTACCCACCTCCCCCAATAAAATATTGACAACCCCAAGCCCCCCACTTTTTTGGCCTAGCCATGAAAGGGGAATGTCTTTATCTTTACTCTTAGCTACAGTTTGAGATCACCTCTTTTGACGGGGCTATTGTCCACGTCCCCACATTCTCTCCAAGCGCACAACATCACAGGCTGCCTGACCACAGCGCAGCCCTCGAGTCAGAGAGCACCGGCCCCTGGGGACTACCAGTCCTGCGACAGCTTGGTGTTCTGATCCCTTTTGGGAGGTGCAGGCGGTGGCCCCCTCCGTAATGTTGCATAGCCAGATATATGACTGCCCTTGAAGCTGCTCGTCTTCTGCTGGTCAGCCAGAAGCTCCGGTGGGGGTGGCGGCAGGGCCATGTCGTCCATGGTGGCTGTGGGCTCTGCTCTGGACATCCGTGCAGAGGAGAGGGAGCCGTGCCGGGTGATGGATTTCCGCTGCAGCGTCCGGTTGAGGTCTGCCAAGAATCCCGGCTGAACGCTAAGGCTGGACTTGGGTGAGGTGGGCACTTGGGGGCCAGGAGTCACCGGTGGCTCTGCGACGTCTGCCTGTGTCAGCCGAGTGCTGTCGTTCCGCTTCGGACGCGTGGGCGGTGGGGCTTTTTTAATGGATGATTTTGACCACGCCTGAGGCTGGGGATTGACAACAGCGACTTTCGGGGAGGTACTGCCTGAAAACACCGATGGGATCTCAACCGGTGGGATGGGAAGATCTATTTCGGGTGGCGGTGGTGGAAAGTCTGAATCTGACGGCGGTGAAGGGAATTCAACCACAGGTTCCTTCCCAGACACACCTGGCACAGGAGCCTTGGCCGGGATCCCTCCATGCGGAACGACGATGGGCAAGCTCACACCAGAAAGGTTGAGCTTTCCAGGCTTTGGAGGGGCTGCAGGAGGCAACGACTCCTTCGAAGGAGACCCTGACGGCTCTGGTGGGTGTGCAAATTTGCTGACAAGGCGGTCCACTGAAGGTCTCTTGGACTCGTGGTACTCAGTGGAGCTGGTGGATTTGATGCTGGAGTTCCGCTGAGGTGTTGGAGGTGGTTTCTTCCCTCCAGGGCTTGATGTCTTGCTGGTCTTTTTGACTGGAGACCCTGATTTGTCAGGGGGGGGAGAACCTGCAGAGGTAGCTGGGGAAGGAGGTGGAGGAGGAAACACTAAGCTGCTCTCTGGTGGAGGAGGGGGGAAATCCGGAGAGGGAACAGAGGCAGGCTGCCACTTGGGCTTCGCCTTCACCGCTGGAGGTGACTGGGGAGCCACGCTCAGCGGCAGGGGTTTCAGAGGCTGGGGCTCAGCGGCAGGTGGGGTGGGAGGAGGTGGGAAGTGGCTGGCTATCTGCTTCACCACTGACGGCACTGGGGACTGAGGGGACGGAGGCGGCTTCACAGAGAAACTCTGCTGCTTTGGGAACGTTGGGGGAGGAGTGGGGCCTGGAGGGGCTGGGGGCAGCGGAGGCACCTGGGAAGAGGTGACACTCGGCTGTTTCTTAATTGCAAGGGGCAAGGGAACTGGCACAGGGGGGGTGACATGCGTGACCCCTGGTGACGCTGCCTTCCCGCTGGGCTGCGGAGGGAGAGCTGTCATGAGAGGCTTTGGGGGCGCTTGGGGCGGTGGGGGCGCAGGCACGGGGGGAGGAGGGGGTGGCAACGGGGGGGTGGCAGCGGCTGCAGTGGCAGCAGCCTGGCTTATATTTGGTTGCACCTGATGGATTTTGGGGGGGGGTGGCGGAGGCGTGAACTGCGGCACAGACGGGGCGCAAGGTGCCGGCTTCAGCTGTGCCATGGCTGAGCCCGGAGTGGGAGGCGGCGGCGGAGGGGGGGGAGGCGGCATGACCCCGTTGGGGGGCACCAGGATCTGAGGCTTGCCCGAGGCTGGAGGGGGCGGGGGGGGCTGCGGTGCGGCGGGGGCCTTGGCAAAAGGGCCGCCGTGCTGGGCTGCGTTCTGCAGGCGGGTGATGGTGCTGTACTTGACGAACATGGTGGCGGGGGAGGCAGCAGCCGGGGCGGCCTGGCTGGGGAGGGGGGGTGGAGGAGGAGGAGGGGGAGGTGGGGGTGGAGGAGGGGGGGGCGGCGGTGGGGGCAGCGGGGGGGATGGCTGTGAGGCTGCATAGGGGGTCGCCACTTTTGTCTGCGGGGACACAGGAGGTGCAACAGACATGAAGGGCCGACCTGCAGGCTCCATTCGGGCCTATGGGGAAGGGAATTTTAGTGAAAGTGGAAAGGGAGAAAAAGAGAGAGATAGGGAGGGAGGGAGGGAAGGAGACAAAGAGATTATAAAGTCAAGGTCTAAATGTGCCTGTCATTAAAAATTAAGTGGCAGATCACAGCATGCAGGAAGTATTAGGAAAACAATGCAGCAAGAGACAGTTGTTCACACATCAAGCCTGAACCGTGCAGTCTGGCCACACAAGCTGGCAGGGAAGCTGCCAAGAATCACTGGGGCCAGGTCTATTGCAAGCTATGCCGAAATTATGGGAGGCAGCTGTACCCAGGGAGACACATTGGTCCTGCTGCGGGCAAGCATCAGGAACCAAACAGGACACTCCCCAGAGTGCCAATGGCCACAACAAAGGACGCTGGGCAGAGCAGGAGACTGCAGGCATCGCTTCAGCTCTTAAAGACTGAAGTTAAACCATACACGACCTCCCAGAGTGTCTGACAAGCCTTTATGTTGTCAGTGCAGGCCTTAACACAGCTTAGTGTTGCACAGTGCAGAAATCCTGACCTGCTCTAAAACAGAAGAGCAAGCTCTGCAAAGGAGTATTTCTGAGGTCCTTCTCCACATGCTCTGACACCAAATACAAAAAAGAGGGACAACTAAAGTTTCCTAGGAAAGTTTCCCCACAAGGAAATGTTTGGAGACCTTCAACACAAGTTAGCTTGGAAAAGAAAAGCTAGGCATGCAGCTGTTACGTTATTCAGAAAAAGAAAGACAGGGAAAAAATGTCTAAGGGAAGGAGCAATGGGAAAGCAGCAGGCAATGCTTTCATCTACTCATTGGGTTTTGCTCAGGTTAAATTGCTTCTCTAAAATTGTATACCCATATTCATGTTAAAATTTAAAAATATGATTACATTACTCAAGTTTATCAACAACTTCCTAATACAAAGTGGTTTTGCTACAAGCAAAGTTGTGAACTTCACAGTGTGAACTTCACAGCTTAGAAACATGCATTAGAAATGCAATACCAACACGCAACTAATTGCACTCAGTTCCTACACTTCATTAGTAGATATTTTGCCACAAGTTAGCCCAATTATGCTCTTTTTCACTGTATAAGTATGTTTGCATATTGCTTTGTTTTAAACACAGGTGCACAGAATTTCTATATGCACAGGAACAACACCAAAAAGATTAGAGTAAGAAACAACAAAGGGCAATTTACAACAAACATGGGATGTGCCTCTACCTGTCATGTTAGGTCTGTGAGGCAAGAGTGTAACAAAGTTCTGGAGCTTCATCAACATGTTCACATACCAAAACAGGGAGAGATCTTGATCTCTCGCATATGTTAGTCTGCAATTACCATTCTCCCAGTCACCCAAGTTAATGAATTTACAAGTAACATCCCCTGACCTTAGTTCTGCCCTGTATAAGGCACCACGGGTGTGCTGACCTTCACTTTTGACACCTGAGACAGCAAAAGGCAACAGGAAAAAATAAAGCGGCATAAACAGCGAGAGAGAAAGACTGACGCATAAAAGAACAGCTATCCCTGAATGGCAAGACCTTAAGAGAGTCTTGAGCAGGGAACTGTCCCTTATTCCTTGTCACATAAAGCACACACAGTGAGCACGCATTCTGACGCCTGTCGTATTATCCTATTTAAAAGAACATTTTTAAAATCTAACAAGAAAACAAGACATGATATTTTCACTGTCCAGCTGTGATGAACGTGAACAAGTGAATAAAATATTCTTTGGGCAAATGGCAGCATTTTGGGAAATTATGTCAATAACACCAATATATATAATAATATACCAATTATATCAATAATGTTGTTTCTTTTCTTGCCACAGAGTTTAACATTTGCCCCTACCAGCCTAATTTATTGACCATTTAAGTTTCTTCGGCCAGACCTGTACAGTATAAAAAATCACGTACAGTAGTTTGGCTTAAGTTAAATTGGTGAACAATTTACTCAGAATTCTTTTTAGCATAGTTTCTAATCATAATTTTACATGGTTCATTTCATTTGGAGTCTTTGCAAGTTTCCATTCACCTGTGTTAACATGAGAGTTCATGTACCTTTTAATGGATTTGTGTATAGAAGGGAATTCAAATTGATGAAATCTTGAAACATGGATGGCCCTTAATAGGGAGAAGTCTGAATATTTTATTTGTAAAAATGCTTTAATCAGATAACATAAAAATTATGGGGGTTTATTTAAATGAGTAATTGCCAGCAGCACCATGGACTTGATGTGGTCCATAGTGCTAATCTCAAAATTTTCTCCAGAAGTTCACAGAGTGTAGTAGCAAAGAGTTCACATTAAAAACAAAACTTCAGAAAACAGTAACATGACAGTTCTCATAGCAGTACTCTTCCACCTCTGTTGGATACATGCTAGACAGACTTGAGTGCCCTGTCTTTTCCATCAACCCAGTCCCTGTAGAAATGATGCACCCTGTACACATACACAAGCCATCTGCTGATGAACATGCAGCAGGTGTTGCACACATGCAGTAGAAAAATTTGAATCACAGTTTAGTAAGCTACATTCCTGGGCCATCACTATTACAATCATATGATTTCCAAGCCAGCAGGCACTGCAGAAAAGTTACAAATCCCACAGAACAGAGCCAAGTCAGATTTCACATTGTGCCACCTGTGCTTTTTCATTTGAAAATCTGATGGTGTGTCTTATTTCTAGTTATTTATCTAATGCACCAATATGAGGTGTAGTGACCCATGGTTTTGTTTTTAAAAAGCCTCCTTCTTTATTGACCTTGAACCTGCAGTTTGGGAAAGATTTGAGACTGACAGGAGAGAAGATGGCTTCCCCCACAGCATTCTGCCAATACACCTCCACACGTAAGTGCCACTGTTAATACCTGTATCATGGCTGTTCAGGAACCTGGACATTCTGTAAAGCCTGACAACCAACCAGCTGAAGTGGCGGTTCCGCTGCGTGTGCAGGTATTCTCCAGGAACTACACCAGCCAACTACCAGACATAGAACTAACCAAACCACCAAAGACTCTCGGAGTCAATGGGCTACTATCTTTTGTAACTCTCTACCAGCAACAGCAGATATCAAATCTGTCTCAATCCACAATTACTTTCAATTTTAGTACTTCTGCTTTAACCATGTCTATGTTTACTGCTTCCATTTCCACAGAATATAATAGCAACCATTGGAATAAAAATATTAGAGCGTGTCTTAAATAGGTGTACCTACCTCCAGATCTCAGTCATTTACATCTTTACAACGGAAAGATGTGACTAGTTAACTGAAGAAACATCTTAGTAAATTAATTTAATTCATCAGCTTGTTAACAGCTGATCTTTTTATCTGGTCTTTACTCAACACTAATTAATAGGATTCATGGGAAGGACTGTCTCATGCCTTCAAAGAAGAGGGGGGTTCTGTGTACACTAATAAAAACAAGAGCAGAATGTTTCATGATTGAACGCCCTGAAAAAGTGATTCCTGAAAAAAAAATGTATAATGTAGTGTATGCAAATAATATATAGTAATAAAGAGAAAAAAATCCATCCCATTCCAGACAGAGGTGGAAGAGGTAACACTCTGTCTTGTGCATTTTGTTGGGTGTTGGTTCTCAAACTAAAGTCTTCTTGTTACCTTGCTGGATTCCTCCAGTTGAGTGCCTCGCTTCCAGGCCTCAGAGAACATGGAGCTGACGATACTTTGGGAACGGACATGTCCAGTTGGCTGGGTGTCAGAAACTCCACTGTCAGACTGATTAGAATGATTTGACTGAGATTCTGTTTAAAAGAAAGCAAAAAAACTGTTTACATTTCTGAATGTAAGAGTAAAGCCACTGTGCTCATAATGCAAGTCTGTGTGACCTTTATTGGTCATGCTTGTTAAATGTGTTATCCCACCAAATAACAGTGTTCCCACTAACCACTGCACAAGCTCCAGCTCACAGCCAGCCCACTGAAGACTGCTGTGTAGACAATACAACAGAGCAACAAGACCATACTCATGCAGGCACACCAAATTTGACAAAGGAGCAGAACCACTATTTTCAAAGTTTGTCTCTCAAGAGATTGTCTCGATCTTTGCCTATGGGCAGGGACTATTTCCTAATTGCCAGTTTCACATATTTCAGTTAACGAAAGCAGTTTACATCGTTAAAACAGGGACCTTGATTTGTTTTTTTCTCAAATAGACGAAGATAGCGGCATCAGGAATTTGAAATGAAGTTCCTCTTCTAAAAACACACACCACTAGAAGTAATAAAGGTTTTTGGATTAACATAGTCCATTTCCTGGAATAGCCCCTCCTGCAGTCTCCAAATAACTGAGAATAAAAAAGGTAATTAAGTCTTTCCATTATGAGACAGATCACATTATTACCTGGCAAACTAGATGAGCTGGAGCCTGACTTGATACTGGAGCTAGACAAGGAAGTCCAGTCATACGCCGATTCTGTTCTCTTCAATGCTTCCTGATAATTCATGTACAGTTGCTTCCCATACTAAGCAAAATGACAAACAAATGTAACGACTATACAGGCTCTGTACCTTTTTCAGACTGCTAATCTCCACCGCCAGCTTCTCTATTCCACCTTCTTTTTCCCCAGAGATAAAAAGCAGGCTCTATGTAAAGGAGCTTGCACAAAATTAAATCAGTGCAAATTTCATTTTCTTTCATTTAGCAGCAGTGGCAATTTCCTGCTCCCAATCTTTTGCCTTTTTATTAGTGAATTGCTAAAAGAAATAAGAACAGTTTCTTTATGCTAGAAGATATTGCATCAAACCACCCAGATAAATGCAAGAAATGGGCCAACAAATAAACTAAGACAACGTGGGCATCTTAGAAAACAAATCTGTCAAACCCAAAGTCTCATCTCTTCCCACAAGCCTTCCTTTTAATGTCTGTAAGAGAGTTGGCTGAAATCTAGCACACATGTCAGTCAGAATTATGTCACATGACAAAAAAAGTACAGCAGAAATGAAAGGAAAGGGTCCAGTTTTTCTAGGGAATGAAGGATTTCTAGAGATGTAAGAAGAAACATTGTATAGTTCACATTCAAAATAGTTAAATAAAAGGAATTTGGATTTAGTGTGTATTTTGCCAAATAACTATAAATGGTTTCAAACAGATAATGACAACAACTCATGACAACACTGCAAGACTGGCTAGAGGAGGTTACCTTAGCAATGCGGATGCCATTGATCCATTGGTGTAGAGTTCTTACATCATCACAGCAAAGATACTTGATATACTGGGATTTCTTCTGGATCTGAGGATGCTGCAGAAAAAAAAATGTTAATCCCCACCGATATTTTAATAGCTAGGAATGCAAGAAAAGCCATTAATCTGCTGAGTTTTATACAGACGAATTTATTGCTAGAAGCTCTTGGATGGCAGTGCATACTTTGGGCCCACTTATAAATGTTTGAGAGTATTTCAGGAGGTGGGGAGACTGCTTTACACACAAATTGACAGCATGTCCAGCAAACACTGACTTCAGATTTGAAACACTAGGAAAGGGTGACTCTCTAGTATTTTAGTGCTGTACCTTCTATGTACCTACAGAGCTCTCTGCATCCCCAAGGCCCTTTAGAAATATTTATACTCTCAAACCAAGCAGTCAGAACAGTGTCAGCTTGTAAAAACTGCAAGCAAGGGACAGTCAAAGTGTGAAGAGTTGTCTCCTTTAGCAGTCTATGGACTAAATCACCACCTGAGGGAGACAACTGTTTTAGCTACCTCTCACCAAAACACACTGGCGGAAAGCAAACATACTCTTCTCTGCTTTTGCATGGCTTGAGTGAGACACTCCACAAATGACACCCTGTTGAGCACAATTCTGTTCTCAGCTTGTAGAGCCTTCAAGGTCCCTGTCCTACTGATACAGGGCTGTCATTTAAAATACTTGCTGTTCCCAATTGCATGTAGGAAAGGAAAAAATATTGTATTTATAAATACAGAAGTTAAGAAATACAATATATATATATATTTAAATCAAACAATGGAAATCACTCTGGATGGATTACTCAGTTTGCTGTCTGTGCTGCAGAAGTTACATGTCACAGAGCTGTCATGGCAACTGTGAATACTCAACTTATTATTATCCTGTATTAGCTTATAGACGAGAATAGAGTTTTGCTAGATGATCATAGGCATTTCAGTTTTACTGGAGACTGTCTTAAATATCTATCAAAGAACTTTTAATGTCTTTTCAGACTGTTTTCTCTTGCTACATCTTCCAAACACAATTGTTTCAAAATGAACATGAACACATTTATCTTCATAACCAGACCTATGATTTTAGGTCTCTGTTTTTGTTTTTCATAACCGATCTCTTTCACACGTACACATTGTGTAACAAAGAGGAGTCTATGAAAGCATAAACAATTACTTCCCTAATAAGCCCATTTTTTCCAGACTTGTTCTAAAATTTGGCTATACATAAATAAAAGGAACTCTCAGAAATCTAACATTCAGGACCAAGGAGGTAATAGCATGCAACTGTCGTGTTTCTCAACAGCAACCATCTTGCACAGTAAGGTTCACGATAAACAAAGGAGACAATATGTAAAGACTAGTCCATTCCGCACTTTATTATGGATCAACCTTTTAGCATGCTTTTCCCATTCATCTCTTCCACCCCCATTCATATTTTGGAGCTCTTTCCCAGCTTAGTGAGTCCACAAAATCAATTGTGTATACAAAAAAAAAAATAAAAATTATATGGCTTCTATGCTGTTGATACTAATATTAAACACTGATTTAACACGTTGAGAATGGAGGAAAGCAGAACTCAATTTAATTGGTGATTCGTCAGTTCCATACTGAAAATATAGCCTCATTTTGTATAAGTTAGCCAACTAACTTTACAAAATGAATCTACTTAAATAATAAAGGAAAACTTAGATGTTAAATTTTGACTTCAACATTTCCACGAGCTCCCTTACACTGGCAATGTATATATATTTTAAATCTACTGACACATAGTCTGATTTACTCTGGGTGATCAACAAGCTTGAAAAAAATATCCGTTTTAACCTGTCAAAATGACATAGGTCGAAAGTGACATGCAATCATAAGAAATCAATTTAGTTCAAGTAACATAATACCTACAAACATGGGTATTTTTGCCTTTAATTGTGTTCAGTTAACTGTGCCAAGGACTTGTAAGACCAGAGAATATACTTCCAATTTCAGTTTTATGCTTTCTCCCTTAATCTCATGTCCCATATTAGATATTCAATCTACTTGGGGTTATTAAACCTAAAGAAAAGGAGGTTCAGGGGAAACCTCAAGTTGCTACAGGAGGTTTAGGTTGGATATTAGGAAAAATTTCTTCACTGAAAGTGTGGTAAAGCATTTGAATAGGCTGTCCAGGGAATTGGTTGTGTCACCATCCTTAGATGTATATGTATTTAAAAGATGTGTAGATTTGATGCTTAGGAACATCAAACAATGATAGACTTGGCAGTGCTAGGTTAATGGTTAGACTTGCTGATCTTAGAGATCTTTTCCAACATAAATGATTCTATGATTCTAGCTCTCAGTGGGCCCAAACACATGTTGCCCTGTCTGTTGAAAAATGAAATCCTTCTTTCACACCACACATAGGCAGTCACACGCTCCAGGCACATAAAACATTCTAACGTACTGCTATGCATAACACCGCAAGAGATGGGAATTAGGGAAGATAAAAATTCAAAGGAAAATTTTAAGCACAACTATTTCATTACTTACGCCGTTTTCAAATCCATGAAAATGCTTTACTTGCTATGAACAAACTGTGAAAATCTGTTTTTAAAAAGCTTTGTAGCTAGCTATCTTGCAAGAACTAACACCATTTTGAAAAACCTGTGAGAGTCAAGAGAGACCGGGAGATGAGTTGATGCAATTTAAAATAACTGAAAGCACTCAAGTCCCACCATTTAAGATCAGGTCATTACTTTTGTACCATTTTTTCTACTTGTTCTTTCTATTTGTCCTTTATACACTGAAGTTTCTTTCTTTATAGCATCCCCTTTCCCTCAGATAGGGCAATATAGGTAGCCTTGACACTCACAATATTGATTTCTGCACAACTCTGGACCTATGCTCTGAGAAGACAGGAACTTCCTGACATTAGTGCTTCAAGGAGCACTTCCACTGAATCTAACTGCTGTAAAGCATAGTTTCCAAAGAAAGATTTTAGTGTCATATTTTATAGTAAAAAGCAAACAAACAAGCAAACAATCACCACACAAACAAAACCAACAACAACAAAATTAAATAGACCAGGACTCAGTCTGGAAGTAAGGCAATTCAGGGCAATATGAAAATGTTTATGAAGTCATGAAGAGCATGGAGAACAAGCAACTGTTCACTTACTGTTCACTTACCAATACAAGAACTAGGGAAAATAAAATGGAAAGCAACTGATGGATCAGAAGTAAAAGAACATACAAGGTTTATGCTAAAAGTTTCTTGGGGTTCCAAAGCAGAACAGCTGAGATACATTCTATGACTCCCGAAACTTCTAAAGGCTGAAAAAGTATTCTGTGAAATATCTCTGCAAGACTATTGTGTATTTCTAATTTTTCCCTAAGCAGTCTATAAAGAAACGCCACTGTCAGAGAAGCCAAGAATGCTATATGAACCCAGTAACACCATTCTTTTGTTGTTAGGAACTAAGACTAGTGTGGAAATGTCTGAAGCTCTTGAATTGCTATTTTTAGTGTTAGGAGTTTTAAAACAATTAACAAGTTACCTTCAGCACTAAACAATAGTCTGTGGGTGCTTTGTATTTGTTCCGATAGTCTTGTCCATAGTAAACGTTGACATGATCTAGCTGTAGAAAGCATACAAGATCCCGCGAGACCTATTAAATACAAAAATATTCATTTACAAAATATCCTTTTAAGAAAACCACGCACACTGAAAAATCAGTCTAGTGTTAAGATTCAATGCTAATATAAAGTTTAGTTACAGTCTAATGTTAGTTTCAATCTGATTTAAATACTAACAATACAAAGAGGTGATACAGCCATGTATAAACTCTTGCATCAGGCATTTATTCTTTTAACAAGGTTATTCTTTTTCAAATTCAGTACATTTTTACGTGTGTGTGTGTTATTTGTATTTTGCCTTCTGACCACATTGTACAGCAGACTGCTAATGTTTATTCAGAGTTGGTATCAGGAAAGAGTAAATAAGACTGATTTGATCAGAAACTTTTTAACAGCTGCTTGTTATATTTCATCTTGGTAATAAGCAAGGTCTCCAAATTCCAATCTGACCATAAGTATACTTTTTATGATGTTTGGCAGTGATTGTAGGGCACAGAATTTCAACAGGGTATCCTGCATATAGATTGCTTTAATCAAGTAAAAGGCTATAGAGAGAACGTTTGAGATGTATTCAAGTCTAAAAGGGAGCTGATGCACTGGGAGAGCACAGGGACGATTTTCTCTTCATTGACAGCTGTGTGGGAAGCAAACTGCAGACTGCAAACTGCTGCAGATCAGTTCATGCTGTCAAGACCCACAGATTCATGGATGACTTGAACTTGCAAGAGTTCAGCCTTGAAGCTATAATGCATTTGTAGCAGCTTTCTATTTCCTTTTCATTATCGAAACATACAGAACACAGTAGTAAATGAGACTGAAGAAACAGAACGATATTTACCAATTTCAAAAAATGTACCACAAATTGGTCCAAAAAAGAATCCCATTTATATGAAGTAATTAAACCCAATAAAGTTATGCATATTGATTGTGAAGTTGGGTCTTGAGATTTTATGACCAGAATTTGCAGTGCAACTTGGTCCTTCATCTGAATTCCACTTGAGAAAAGACAGTCTCTTAACTCCACCAATCCTTTTTCTTTGGTGTTTCTGACCACCTAAGCCTGAATTTACTCAAAGAGCAGACCCTTGTTGTCATGCAATTTGGGGTTAGACAATTTACATCAAATACCACCACAGTAATTTGAAGTAAATTTATAATTTTCTTCCATGATAAAGCTGCACTGTTAATTAAGGGATGTGGCTCTGGTCAGGGCATAGCTAAGCCAAACTCTGAGGCTGACACTTGCACACAAATGACTTACCAGAAATAAACAACTTGGAGAAATTGCTTTACAGTAGCATACCTTTGCCTTCCCTTTAGGGACATAATAGATTCCAGAAGCTCGAAGGAGAAAGTAACGTTTCTTCCAAGACTTCTTACCATCCTCTTTCAGCCACAAAACTCCCTCAATTTCTGGCACAGTTACAGAACTTCCACAGAAACATTCCTGCAGATGAACACACAGTGGTTTGGGAAGAGATAGAAAGAGAACATAGTGCATGCAGGGTTTTTTTCAATGACTGAAATTCTGAAATTCTTTATCTAAGGAATGCATACACAACACATACTTTCTCCATGCAATAACATGACCCAGAGATTACATGCAGAAGGCCTAATGTAAATCAGAGAAATACCATACAGGATCTTAGCATTTTCTCAACAGAAATATTAGTAGCTACTGTAAAGATTTTCTCACCACTGCTTATCAGAAATATCCTCCCAACAGCTTTACTGGTCTTAAATGCATGAGGTCACCTTATAGATAAAGCCTCGTAGGTTTTGTGTATACGTAGACTTAACTACATATGCATCCATTACTTGAGTACCCTGTTGCTACTAATGCCAATACTGCATTTCCTGTTAAAGTTCTATTTATAAAAAGCTAACAGCGGAAAGAAAAATGCATTAAATATACTCCAGACTAATATGCACAACAGAGATTTATGAGGAATCCTAGAAGACAGGAAGAATTAGACAGCATTACAACCTTCTGCATGTTGTGGCTCCAAACAACTTTTTGATACACAATATTCACATAACCACTTATTAGAATCTGTGGTAATGATAGACTAAAAGTCTGCAATATGCTACTCCTAAGAGTAATTGTATTATTAAGTATAATCAAAAATTAAATATTCAAATATTTACTTTTGTGTAATGATTGAAATCATAGTCATTATTCTGGAAATAAAGTGGAAGCTATCACACTTCAGCATGGGTACGTCTCTAGAAAAATGTCACAAAACCATTCTGGTTTGAGCTTATACATACTATTTGTACTGCTTGCTTTATTTGCTACACACTTACTTTTTCTGTTGTCCTCAGTTCTGTAAACTATTTATGTGTTCAATATTAAATAACTTCCTTTTCTGTCACTCATTTTTTAAATTTATTTTTTCGTGGTTTATTTTGGAATGTAAATGAAACTATTTTTAACTGCCTTGCTTACTAACAAAATTTAAATATTAATATAGACTCTTCAGTGAAACAGTGCTATAGAATTTTGTAGAGAATAACAATGTGGAGAGAACTAGTTTAAAAAAAAAATATTCCTACTACCTCAGATAAATACAAGTTTTGACTGCGTTTAGCCACAGTTAGAAGTAACCTCACATTGGTTACCAAACAAAATAAGAACATATTTTTATTAACCGATTTTATATGAAACGGTGAGATTAAATTAGCCATTTATCTCAAATGCAACACATTCCATTCCATTTTCCCAGAACTACAATCAGCTCCATTCATGTATTTCAATAACCACAACCTTTTAGAGTTTAGCTTCGAACTCTGAAATGACTAGTATGTCCTTCTTATTTTGGAATTCTCACCTCTAGCAGCACCTCTTTATTTCTGTCTGCCATCTCAGAGGTTTCTTTTTTCCCCAGAAGATAGTTCTGTAAAAAGAAAAACTCAGTATTTCTATAGGCATCATGAAATGCAGCCAAATAATATTTCTCATGTCCCTTTCTGCAGCAGTAAGAAGAAACAGCTGTTATCTAAGAACATTATGTTATTTAAACAAAACTTTATAGTCCAATTGAGACTGTCAGACTGCTAAATATTACATGGACCTTAATTACTACTACCTTTTCCAGTAGCATGAATCAGTCTCTACTCCTGGCCTAACAGCCTCATAACAACATTATCCTTGCTTTCTACACAATTAACAGCTGACTGGTACAATGTATCCAGAAATAAAAATACTGGGAACTTGAAAACCTCACAAAAAATAATACACAGGTATCTTAAAACTTGTTACATCCTGATTTTATTTATGTGTTGACAGAAGTACGTACAGAAGAAATGTACTTCTTTCCATGTTGTGCTTACAGTTCTCTGAATATTTTTCATGAAGAATTACTAAATACTCTTTGTCTTCTTAAAAACAACCTAATTATGCATGGGTACTATATCTTATTTAGTAACATCCCTTGAACTCTTTTTCAGCTTGGAAAGGACTGGGACTACCAAAGTCTTCCTCTTCCTAGCCTCTAGCTCTTACTGGGGAGAGGAAGGGGGGGGGAACAAACAAACAAACAACAACAATCAAAAAGTATTCATGAAGTTTAGCTAGATCAAGACTTTAAATGAAGGAGAAATGCATACATTAAAATATTGGTTTTGTCCTGATACCTTATTCTTACAGACAGTACCTACCATATGTACTAGCAGTAACCATTTATCAACTATATGTTTTTAAAAATAATTTTTTTTGCAGTTTTTCAGCTTTCTCACAAACCACTTGAAAAAGACTTGGTTTTCAATTTTTGCTCAGAAGTACACTGTCTGAAAGGATGGTCATGCAAAACTGACACTTAGCTTGGTAGATAAATAGGTATTTTGGATCCAAGCAATTACCACATACATGTCATACTGATATAAACATAATACATGACACCAGAAGGCAATAGTTTAGCTAGGAGTTATAAGAGAGCAAGTGATATTATATGCAGTTCTTCTTAATTCCAAATCTTCAAAGAGTCACCTTCTGCTTTTCTGTTCCCTTTAACACTTTCCTCCACCCCCTAATGGTACTGAACTGCTACTGGATATCAAATCTGTAGCTATCATCTGGAAATCTCCATTATTGCCCGTTGACAATCAGTGCACAAGAAAACAAGAGGACCCCTAGGTTTCCTAACCAGGGAGCAGGATAAAGGGCATGTTCTCTTCTCTTGTCATTCACTTGAGGAGTGGCTATCCTCTCTGATTCTCTGTCCACCTTCTTGCCAACAAAATAAGAACGCACAGAGGAGGGGCATTATTCTGAGCTGTATCTGTCAATGCCGTTGTATTATCACATATTTACATATGTGAAGAGCATGAAGTATTGGTGCAAATACCATAAAACTGCCTGCCTTTAACTCCATTAAAATTACCCACAAACACATTATAAAACAGATTGCTTCAGCTCATGTTTTTCTGTTAGGGACCTGATTTTGTACCAATCACAATGTGAATTTACACGGCACTGAGATGTGAAGTTGCATAGCATTTTTATACACATAAAAGTATCAAACTAAAAGTATTGAAATGAATACTATAAAAAGTAGTAAGAAACTGAAATCAGGCGTGCATGTGCACATAAATGCATACATTCACCAAGAGCCTCAGGATTACCTGGGGATTCTTGAAAAGTGCATATTTCTCTATGCGTTCCACAAACATTAGTTTGTTTTGACTGTCTCTTGTCCAGTTCAGAAGATTTTCAACTAAATTTTCATGATCTTCAAAGATCCTTTCTGCAGCAATAACAAAAGAGCAAATACATTTTAGTCTGTCACATTTTGCTAAAGAAGCTACTCCATAGTTGCATCTTGGAGACAAGGCATATATAGAAAGAAAATACAGTTCAAGGTCTACCAAAATGAGGAAAAAGTTTAAAACACAATAAGAAACTAAAAGAGCTTAGTCAACTTTCAGAAATGCCTGGCTTAAATTTACACATACACACACTTAGTACTCTCACTTCCCTCTCTTCAGGCTTATGATCTGTATATTAAGCCTTAACAACACATTTTTTGCTATGTCACAATGCTTACCATCCTACTTGAGCACAATGGACTCAAATAACAATATCTGAAATGTTATGAGTACAAATAAAAAAGCTATCACATTTATATGTACTCTGGTATGCAGAGCCCCTGAAGGAATTTATGAGGTGGCTTTTTCAGCACAAGATTTGATTCCATATACCTAGTCACTATCTCGCTCTCATAAAGTATCCAAAAAAGTAATAGACAATGATCAGAGAGAAAATGAAATGTTTCTGAAATGCAGAATACCCATAGTTAGTGCGGGTATGGTAGAAGAATTCTGAAAACTGACACAGTATTTCTTACAACTAATCTGTCTGGGTGGATAAATGAACAGTGGCTTCTGAGAACACTCTCTGTTGAAATGGTCATCACCAGTAAAAGGTAAGGAATATAGGCAAAAAGGAAGAGAGGAAGAAAAAAGAGAAAAAATTACTGAAATGGCCAAGAAATGTCTTAAAATCCTTATTCTAAAATAAATAACAAAAAATATATCTTTGAGAAACCACTGGACCAACTTTCTCCTCCTTTAAAAGACACTCAAGCAGAATCTTGCTTTCTGCATTTTGTTCCGTCTTCATATAGGCCATACAGAAGCACTTAAGCAAATTAGTTCTTTCAGAATCCTTGGGGACTTGCTTGACCTTTCATTAGCATGTGGAATATGCTTCTCAACCCCAAAATCAATTACACCACATTTTTACAGAGGGCATATGGCACCGATCACATTCAGACCTACGGTCTATCACTAAGAAAGACTGAGATGACAGGTGGCACCTCAATATCCTTAGTGATTAAGAATACGAAACAGGGTGAATGCAACGGAATGTCATCTGTAGGGAATGAACGAAGGTTTAAGATGACATAGGCATAACACAGGACATTACTGAAGTCTCAGTGACATCTTTCTAAGGTGCTTTCAAATTATAACTCAACAACAAACTCTATCAGCAACACAACAATGCTGTCTTCCAAGAACGTAAAGAAATGTTAAATAACAGAAGAACAGAACAGAAAAATCATGAAGACTGAGATACACAAGCTTAAATCTCACCAGAGCCTAATTAGGGAAACTGGATAGCTTTCCAAATGTATCAATTGCTATTAACAATAACTGAACTCAAACATGAAACAAAATATTCACCGACTACGTATGTACCCCTAGTTTGCAAAACAGCAAGTAATGCAATGTTCCCATTATTGAACTTATTACATAGAATTAAAAAATTATAACTCTTGGTTATTTCATATACCTGCTCTAACAATAAATGAAAATGAAAACAAAATGAAAACAATCTTTGTACAAACCAAAAGAAACCTTCCAGAGTCATTTTTGTTTAAAACCTGCAGAGTGCAACTGGGAAAAGCATTTCATTCTGTGTCCATTTCTACATCTGTGAAACGGAAGTAAATATCACTACGTTTTTGGGCAAAGAACATATAAAGCTACTGGTTAAACCATTGCAGAGTGGCCTTGTGCTTATGTGCATGTACCTAAACCAGACTCCTCAAAAATTAGTTAACCACACACATTTGAAGCAGACCACATAAAAAGCAAAGACGAACAGGAACACTACAGGCCACACGTCTTTCTTCACTGTTTGTTAGCTCAACACTTTTACTGGATTTCACTGCACTGTGCACACAATGAACAATCAACTAACAACGATAACATGAGAAACACAATGTGAAGGTAGATAGGTCTTCCATGCCTAGCTAAGGGAAAAATCATAAAAAAGGTGTTCCTTCCTATTACATACATATTTCCAGAAATGTTTGGAAAGATGAACTGGTTGCAAAATAACACAATACAATATAAAAAGGTAAGAGGTAAGAGCTTAAGGTAAGAGCTTTGCCTTAACCATTTTTCATCTTTTTTTTAAGTTCCGATATAAAGTGTATGAGGTAAACTGTCTGCGTTTTGGATTGTATTTTTTAAAAATACATGCGATTTGGGTTTTCATAGAATTTGTGCATATTATTTCTGTTTTCAATACAGGACAATTTTAAGACTTATTTTATTCAAACTTCTATGTTTTGAGCCTGCTAATATGGTATTTTTCATATGAAAAGTAGAAGAGGATAACTTCTCACCCAGTAATAGCTTTTTTTGTCTAACAATAAGTAACATTAACATCCTAGTGTGGCACGATAAACATTATAAAGATTAAAAATTTAAGCCACTCTGAGGACATAGATATGGTTAAGTATTACATCAAAAGATAAGAATTATAAATTTATAATGATTACTTACCCATTTGCAGTTCAGAGATGGTTTCCACCAATGACCAGTCTAAACTGTAACCACAATGTGATTTGTCCATCAGATTGTCTAATACTTGTCTCACTGTCTGCCTCTCATCTACCATCATTGTTTTTGAGCTGTCATCAGACATGTGGACTCTGATCACCAACTATTAAGCAGAAAATTAGGAAAACAAGAAGAGGATTAACTTCCCACATTTCCTTCATTTAAAATAAAAACCTATTTATTAAGATCTAGTTTCTTTTTCTAAGATTTTGTTAAATAACATAAAATATTAAGATCAATCAAAATTATCCCTCAAATGTGAAAAGCCATACATGATGATTAGATATTTTTCTTGTGTAAACTTAGCAGAATACCATTTTCCTTTAGTATATGGGGGTAAATAAAGGTTTTCCCAATATAACAGAAATGTACTTTAGGTGTGTGTTAAGGAGGAAAAAATTCCATCCTGACAAAGTTCCCTGATCTGATAAACGTGACAATTTTTTTCATAGCTGTAGGTAGCACAAGCATAGATCAAGAGTTCTGCACAAACTTCCAAAGAATGACAATTTTTCAGACTTGTACCTCAAAATTTCTGCCTGTTTCCCATGTATTTTCTAAAAATGCTGATCATATAAACTGTGTACCTATACTAAATCTTCCTTTCCTAGGGAGTATGAAACATTAGTGTAGAGCAAATCTGCTTTTAAAACAGTAGCTTTTCATTGCCACTTTAAAGAGGTTGCTGCCTAGAATGAAACATGCAGCTGTTTTTTCATTCATCAGAAAACTGAAAACAATAGATTTGTCTTGCCAATTATTACGCTGTTTGCTTCCTTTTTACACCTTACTCAGCTGGAAAAGTTAAAGCATATTATCTATAATGCACTGGTTGGTTTGTTAATTCTCTTCTTTCAGCCAGGACAGTTTTTCAGCTTTTGTTATAAATGCTAAATGTAAAAGACATCAACAGTTATGGAAGAACTTCTAAATTTTAACATGAAGGCTAAATCTGGAGGGAACACCTCCAGCTGTATTCTTTGTTAATACATCAGGTAATATCACTAGACTTCTCCATTTGATAACCTCTGTCCATAATCTGGAATACCTACATTCCATTTATCACTAGAAAATCCTACTATGTGAAACGGGAAATGGGTATATAAAGAAAACAGACCCAAATTTTAAAGAAAAGGCTGCTTAATACACAAAGACAACCTCAGGAGGCTGGATCTTTTTTGACTCTGGGTGGAAGTAGGCAGTCTTCTAATAGTGCACTAGCAGCAGAATAAGCTATTCCTTAAGGAAAGCATAATGTTATTCCATATGCTAAGTTTTTTTGTTAAAGTCTAGATGACAATACATTATCACTCCAGATCAGAACATTACAGTGTTCTTATTTTCTTTAGGGGTTCTTAAGTGTAATAAGACACAAATGAGAAGAATTCTGCCCGCGTTTTCCAGGTGAACAAAATATATATTAAAAAAAAAAATCATAAAAAAGTGTAAATAATTTACCTTTTTCACTTGTGCCTCTTTAATCTTCTCTAACGCAACTCTGATCTTCTCAGCTTTCAGTTTAGCAGCCTGTTCCTCCTGGGGGGAGACAAGATACACCGAATTCCAGTTATACAAACTTCATTTGTGTTTTAGAAGATTTAATTTGCGGCTATCACACTTGAAAACATGAACTGAAATGCAAATTTACCCACTGATAATTCTGTAACTACTTGTTAGTGATGATGATTATTATTTTCAAAACAAGAAATGTTACTATACACGTCTGACTCTTAGAAATACAACTACCTTTATCTCCAAAATAACACACCGGAGGTATATATTTTCTATAAATACACTTGGTTTATCTCTATTCTTTCACGTTGTAAATAGCCTTGCACAAGAATTTTAACATATGCATTTAAAGTCATAGTCTTGGACAAGATATTGGACAGATAGTGGACAAGATAGTGGACAATTAAGTGCACTGAACAGATTTACGGTTGATCGGCATAAGACTTACATTCTGATATTTCTCAATGTGCCATTTAACAACATAAAGAAACTATGTGAAACAAATCCTCTAAACAGGATTTCACACTATGTCCACTGATTTGGAAGACTTAGTCTGCATCATGTAAGTAGCCTGAACGCTCCCTTTATCCTTACTAAATTCTGTATTTCTCCTCACTTGATGTATTTTAAGACACATAAAGCAAACAGGCATTCTTTTCTTCAGTGCTCTTCTAAAATCATTAATCTGGTTTTGTTACAACCAGAAGAAATGCATTAAAAATCCATTGACATAAATCTATTCTATCTGCTGGTACTAAAGAAACCTACCCATTAGGACATTATCAATACTATCAGGTTTTAATTTCTGGATTATTTTTTTTTTGTCATTTGTATTTAAAATGGACTGGAAATGAGCAGCTAAACAAGTAACCACTATTTTCAACATGATTATATACGGGTTTCAGATTTTTAAAAGCCTTAAAACGTTAATTTTCATTGTGTCTAATACTTAAAAGCACCATAATAATTTATAATCCCCCCCCAATAAAAACAAATAAAATAAACAAATACATTAATAGGGAAAAAAATCTGCTTTAAAATTATTAAATCTTCTTATAAATGAAAAATTAAGATTTTTCTCAAGTAGTACAACCTATCTCAAGAACAGCACGCCATATAGATTTTTTTCTGCATTGCTTTCTTGTATTAATGTAACTTGTGGTTTGTTTATTACATTTAGATGACCGCTTTCCTTGTAAATGTCAAGATTCAGCTATCCTCAAAACCACAGAGTTTAATCTTTTTGCTTCTCAGTGAATTGCTAATATTCCCATCAACTGCTTAAAGGTTTTTCTGGTTGCACTCTTACTTAACAGCTTTTGCTCCCTCACACCTGTGGCCGTACTATCACTGGGAAAAAACATGAAAAGAACATCAGCTAGACAAGACAGGGTCTTGGGAGACACATAACCCTTGTCAAAAAAAAAAAAAAAAAGAAACAGTAAATTGGCACATGTAGAAAATTTCAGCTTGAAACATTATCTAGGAATTCTATTACCAAGTAGCATTTTTCTTTTTATTAGTCTAGGAAACTAAAATTTTTTATTCATCATAAAAATGGTGTCACAGAACCCTGATAGGTTAAATCAGATTAGTATTCTATTAAAAGCTAAAAGAAAAAAGCACCGTGATACCTACAATCATTTAAATATAAAACATCCCCAGAGTTCTACAATTTCCTTCCTCTTTCTTAACTGTTTTCATCCACAGAAAAAAATTAGTACCAGAAAACCCAAGGATTTAAATACCTACAAGTTTCTAACAGTGACACTACAAACCCACGCATTATGAGATCAGCAAGCCTTCTTAAATTTTAAGACACTTTTGGAGAAACTTTGTTTGCAGTTTTAAAAAGTTGCTCATTAACTCAACCATATACCTTTATTCCTGTACAAAGGTTGACAGCATGTTTGGTTTTGCTCTTCACTAAAGTCAAGCAGCACAATTTTCCAGCCCATTTCACTGTGCACCCATGCAATGCAGCTATCTATAGCAAATCCCAGCAGGAGCACTTTATAGCCACAGCACACAGGTACATGCAGCAACAACAGAGAGCAAGCAACAAGGAATCAGATGGGGACCTCTCATACACTTGTGCCAACACAACTAAAATATCATAGTTTATCTCAAAGTTCATAATCCCTTATCATTCCCTAAAACGTTTGTTAAAAAGTATAGACCAAAAAAGATTTCAAGGATTTACTATTCTACCACTTATCAATTATCTTTCACTTCCCACTCAACTTTAATGAGGTTCCAGATTTCAGAATTTCTTATACCATTATTAAATTTTAACAAAGTCAGTTTAAATTTAAACAAAAACCAGATTTACAATGCTAAAAATAATAATTGTTTTTAACCAGATACAAATGATAAAAAGAGGTCTGAATCTACTTACTAGAAACAGAGGAAAAGGAAGCAAGAATGTGAATTTCTGAAAGCACAGAGTAGTCTAGGATTTTAAGTGTTGATTTTTTTTTTGTTTGTTTGTTGTTTTTTACTTTATATAAATATAATTAGTTTTAAGGCCATTGTTGCAGTTTGCTGATTTGACAAATGTTTTTTTTTTCAGTGGAGCAGGAGGAAGAAATATCTATTTTGATACTTAAATAACCAAATAACTACCGAATTCTTCAATATTCAATGATTTATTCTATTCCTTTCATAATTGCCCAAGCAAAACCACCCATCCACACCTCCCCCATGAGAGCCACCTCCAAGCCCGTCCCTTTGCTAGTAAATCTTCTAGTACTGGCAACATGAGTGAGGCTGCCAAGCGGTCATCAACACGCACATAAATGGCAGGACTGCCACCGAGGTCATGGTTCCACAAGCAGTATATAGCAGCGTAAATCCCTGGTATGGCTGATACAACTGCCTCCCTTGCACAGCACTCCTTTTCAGTTGTATCAGACACAGATGCCATGGGTGGGGAGCTGACCTGGTTGAAAATTAGCACAGCAGGAAGACTGCTTTTCAGCAGAAACTCCTCCTTGATAAGGTTGCCTTTACAGTCACATACATGCTATATAAAAGCATGAAGGAGTCACAGAGGACATAAACCCACAGAAGTGTTATCTCCACCTCTGATAGGAAACGAATATTCTCTTTTAGTAGCAGTACACATCACTAAAAGTGCTACATAAATTCTTTCTTTGAAGGGATAGCTCTGGGAGTGCAGTTATACTTGCATTATGAGGATTTGAGCCTTCACAGGCTTTTGACCTTGCTGAGATTACATTCAGTTATGGGAAACATTGCACCTGTTTTAAATAATGCTTGGCAACACACTTATCACGAGAACTTGTTCATCCTAACATATTGTGAACTAAAATTAAGAGCATAACTCTGCAACACAGTGGTCTTCAAACTTACGACTTTTTTTCTTTTTATACCAGAACTCAGCTCCCAGTAATTTTACCCTATAGTGTAATATTGGTAAGAATAACCCCCAAAATCTGAAATTAACATGTCCTTAGTATAATAATCAGCATTCTGCTCAGTTCCCAGTTAAATGTGCAGTTAAAGATATTCTGGTTGTGCTTCAGTGTTAAATATGCAACACATGTGCTATGACAGAGCTGACCTTGCTTAAACAACTTCGTATTTCTAGGTCAGAGTTTTATTTTTTGCTTCATTGTACACTTTAAAGGGTCATTAACTGATTTCTTCTGCTTGCCAGACAGAACGTAGGCAGAATAGAAAAAAGTGGAAAAATATCATTGAAGTTCATAGTATTTAGGAAAGCCAGCAAATAAATTATAAGATGTAAGTAGCAAAGTCCACATCCCATTTAGGTTAGTGGGGAAGACACAGAGAACACAAGAAGAAATGTGTTTTATGTCTACTACTGGAAATTTTTCTATAAAGTCTTTTTTGAATAAAGATAATCAAATGCACGGGAGCAGCAGTGACTTCTGAAGGATTAAAAGCAGGTATCCGGTGTTTGTATCAATCTGAGCGTTAATGAAGTGTTTTCTGTTTATTTTTTACTAAAGGAATACTAGAATACATGTACATGTGATTAGCACTGGAAGGGAAACGCTGAATGAGTGCGTAAGTAATCAGGATAGTGTTCTTTTCCTCCACTCTAGGTGAATATTAACAGCAGTTCTGTATTTCCCGACAAATTCATTAGGACACGTAAAACACCATGTAGCAAGAGTTGCACTGTCCATTTATGAACCGAAGCAGAATTAGTTTTTAACCATTCCCAAAGATTTTTTTTTTTATTATTACATTTCTACCTCAAAATAACCAGGAACAACCTATGTGTGAGGAAAGTAAGCAGGAAAACAAGAAACTCCTCTCTTCTAAAGCTCACTAAGCATGAAAGGGTACAGCATCTACTTCTGTTGTGAGAAGGCTGCACTCTCTAGGGTTGGCTTGTGCCCTGCTGTCCCCTTCTCCCTTCCCAACTCAATATAGCATTTTCTGTACCTCCAGTAGTCTTGACTTCATGTATTATATTAATACATTCAGAAATGTATGTGAAGCAGTAGTATGGTTTTGGAGTTTGTCTGAGACAACTTTTTCACATAGAATGTTTAAATTATGATGATACAACATACAAGCAAACAAAGAGACACAGACAGGGAACTGTAATTTTCACTTTCCTTTAATTGAAAAGGTAGAGGAAGTGAAACAGAGGAGGACTAGTGATGCATCCATCAACCATTCAAAAAGCAGCCAACCCTCTTTTTTCAATCTCACCTAATAGCTCCCATGAATGCCATCTTCATTTCTCCCCCCCCAATATCGGTGCACCATTTTTGCTAGTAGAAGCCTAACTCCAATAGGGGAGATGGCTTCTGACAGGAAAGTGGAAAGCAGCAGTGACATTTTAAGTGTATCTCAGAGCCACACTGGCCCTTGTCAAGAGCTCCCCAGAAAGGCTTTCTCCCCCTATCTGCACTCTGTTAAGGCAAAGAAGGAAAGCAAAGACATAGAGGGCAGTTGTTCATGAACTTCAGTGAAAAATGGCATCTACAAATCCCTCCAGAGCCTCTGTTGTGTTTGATCAAAATTAACAAGTACTTCAGTGTTGTGGGGGTTAACACAGGTAAACAATTAAGTCCCATAGAGGTGCTTGCTCACTTCCCCCAAGTGAGATGCAGAAGGATAAAAGCATAAAAACTCATGATCTGTAATAAAGAGTTTAATAAGTAAAAGCAAAAGCTTTGGGTGCAAGCAAAGCAAAATAAGGAGTTCATTCATTACTTCCCATCCACGAGCAGATGTTTAGCTATTTCCAGGAAAGCAGGGCTTCCCCAGTAACTATTACGCATGGTGAAGATAAGCTTCAACTCAAAATGTCATCCTCCTCCTTCTTCCTTCTCCTTTTCCCTCGGCTTTTATTGCTGAGCAGGACATCATATGGCATGAAGCAGTTAATTTTGCCCACATCAAAAAACATGGCTGTCTCTATCCCTGGGAAATCTGCTTTTCCATTCTCACAGAATGGTTGAGGTCACCTTGACCAACATGCTGCTCAAGCAGGGTCACCTACAGCATGTTCCCCAGGACAATGTCCAGATGGCTGTTGAGCATTTCCAAGGAGGGGGGTGCTACAACTTATGTGCAACCTGTTCCAGTGCTCAGTAACCCTCCCAGTAAAGAAGTGTTCCCTGATGTCCAGAGAAGCTCCTGTGTTTCAGTGTGCACCCTGACTGTTGTCTTGTCACTGGGCACCACTGAAAAAGCCTGGCTCCATCCCCTATTTGCACACTGCCTTCAAATATTTGTATGTATTTCTGCGATCGCTCCCGAACCTTCTCCTCTCTAAGCTAGTTAGTCCCAGCTCTCCCAGCTTTTCCTCATAGGAGAGGAGCTCCAGTCACTTCATCTTTGTTGTCTTCTGCCGGACTCTATTCAGTATCTCTGTAACTCTCATGTACTAGGGAAGCCAGAAATGGGCACCATGCTCCAGATGTGGCCTCACAGTGCTGACTGAAGGGGGAAGTATCACGTTCCTTGACTTGCTGGCACTACTCCTAATGTAGCCCAGGATACTGTTAGCTTTCCTTGTAGCAAGGGCACATTGCTGGCTCATATTCAACACGGTGTCCAGCAGGAACTCTGGGTCCTTTACTGCCAATCTATTTTCTAGCTGGGCAGTCCCCAGTATGTATTTGTGCCTGGGGCTGGTTCCTCCCCGGGTGCAGAACTTTGCACTTCCCCTTGCTGAATTACACAGGGTCCCTGTCAGCCTATTTCTCCAGCCTGTTGACATTCTCCAAATTTTGCATCATCAGCAGACTTGCCAATGGTACACTCCATCACCCGTATCATTAACAGAGATGTTCATCAGAATTGGACCAGTACTGACCCTTGGGGTACACCACTGGTTACTGGCCTCCAACTAGACTTTGTAAGGCATGCTTCAAGGCATGGCAGAGTAGAGTCTTATGCAACAGGGACCTACGTTCTACTGTCTCCCTGACAGATTGCCTGAACAACATGCAGCAAAACCAGTAGTAATGAAGGAAAACAAACAAACAAACAAAAAAAAAGAATGAGCACATCTGAATCAGACTGGCCCAAGATGCACGAAGCCAACTTCACAGCTGATTTATTCTAAGGTTTGGAGAGATTTCATTGTGTAGTAACCAAAATATACAAAAAACAGGGGAACCAACATTTGTAAGAAGCATATTTGCCTTTGGGGTCCGCAAAAAAATGAAGTACTAAATATATGTGAAATAAAGGCATAATGTGAAACCTTATCTTTTCTCCAGATGCTGACATTCATAGCTGAAGCATTACATCATTAAATCACCATCTGGCTTCCTGAATGTAGTCTTTCACATGCATCAGAATGATAAAAGAACTGGTAACTTTGAAATTCCACATCACATTTCTATTTCCTACTTGCACGTCCTAAATTAAGATATATTTGAGCCCTGAGTACTCTCTCAAAATTATTTGCATGTGCTCTGTATCTCACAGCCATAAGCGATGAAATCAAAAAGCTTAGTTTTCAGTATTCATCTTAACTCCAAAAACAAGCTTGAAGCTTTAACATGGTGCTTTATTTTCAATATCCAGTAAGCTACTTCATGGATTTATATTCACTTCTTTTTCCAAAACAAAATGGGCAGGCAGGTGAATTCTGTGAACAATAAAGCACAGAACTACATTTAAAAATGAAGAGACCACCACACTGAATAGGTCATTTTTTGTGCTGTGATCTGCCCTGTGCTGCAACAGGATCTGTGTCTGTGCATAGCTCTAATGCAACAGAAACCTAGTCCATGACTAGAATTTTTTATAAGGATTTACATCAGAGGACAAAATTGGTATTTATCATTCCCCCAAATTCTCTCTACACTGAATATAAGGGGTAGATCAAGGAAGAGGAAGCATACAAGAAACAATAAAACAGTAAGAAACACACTATTTGACAAGTGAGAGACACCAGCAATAGACTGCAGTATGAGTTAGTTTTAACTCATCTAACACCTAACTACAAATGCAAGGAAAAGCCCAATTTCTTGGGACTGCTTCTCTCATTCTGGGGCTTATTTAACATTACAACAAGCTGAAGGGATCTAAGCCAGCAGCAATATGGACTTAATTGAGATGCATCTGGGGGTCCCAAGGGAACTGTCAGATGAAATTCCTAAACCACTATCCATCATGTTTGAGAAGCTGTGGCAGTCCAATGAAGTTCCCACTGACTACAAGAGGGAAAATATAACCCTCATTTTTATCAAGGGAAAAAGGAGGACCTGGGGAACTACTGGCCAGTCAGTCTTACCAGCATACCTGGTAAAACTGTGGAGCAGACACTCCTGGAAATTACGCTAAAGCACATGAAAAACAGATGATTAGTGACAGCCAGCCCAGCTTCACCAGGAGCAAATTATGCCTGACAAATCTGATGGCCTTCTATGATGGGGCTACAGCATTGGTGGATTAGGGAGCAACAACTGATTGTTGCCTGGACTTGTGCAAAACACTTGATACTGTCCTGCACAACATCCTTCCCTGTAAGACTTAGGGATGAAGACTTGACAGATGGACCCCTCGATGGATAAAGAATTGGCTGGATACTCGCATTCAAAGAATTGCGGTCCATGGCTCAACGTCCATGTGGAGACCAGATGAGTGGTTTTCCTCAGGGGTCTGTATTGGAACCAGTATTATTTAACATCTTTGTTGGTGAGATGGGTATAACCATGTGGTAACCACCACTCGTCCAGTATAACTAACTAGGAAAGGAAGATACGAAAATACATGGAGATGAAAGAGTATTATAGTTTGTGCCACAGCCACTGTTAATCTGTTAATCAATTTTCAACCAAGCAAGGCTTGCTGGTTTGGTGGCTATTTGCTTTGTTACTTGGGGTAAAGGGTGCTGACAGGTGGGAGGGGAAAGTGACAGACTTGAAATTCAGGAGAAACAGTCACAAAAGAAAAAAATTACTTGTTTTTCACTGTGGTTTATGTTCCTCTAGAAGAGAGCCTAAAAGTTTGCTGTCAAGATGCCGAGCATTTTGAGAAAAATGTTGATGTATTTAAGAAAAATACAGACTGCTTAAACATTATATCGTTTTGAAGTGACAAAACATACCTTGGCAAGTTCAGTCTTGCCTGAGGTTTTTCATCCATCATGTCTCTTTCAGAAAAATAACCAAGGAGTGGTTTGCAGTATGCAAGTAGCATCAGACTTATCTGACACCTCAGATATTAAACAGCTTTCTCACCAGTCTGAAGCTGCTTATATAAGTCTTTATCCCAGCACTTTTTTGTCTGGGAGATTTATAGCTTGCTCCATCTCTCCTACTCAATAAAGAAAGGGAAATACGCATGGAAATTACAATTTTTAAACTGAACCAGAGAAAGTGAATGGCAATTTATGGCCTCTTAGTCCGTTATTGACCTGTAAGGAAAATGTATCTATAATCATGCTTCATCCATACCTGGCTCACTGTCTTACTACGATATTGTGCCCATGTTACATCAAGACAGTACTCAAGGAAGTCCCATTACTTGCTACAGTTTATCATCTTATAGCAAGTAAACTTATTTTAAGGATACTACTGCCTTTTAACAGCACTGAATGCTCCTACATATTTTTCACAGTTGTAGCTCTATTTTCTTAAAGCACTGAGTGGGAATAGTAACAAAAGAACCTTTAGGTCACTACTTTTCCTTTTTAGTTAATACATTTTTACCTGCTGACATAGCTATTAAGTACTCGTCAAGAACTTGAACACTGATAAATCTGCAAAAACAAACAACAAAATACAGTCTTTAAAAGCACGTTTGACAATCATGAAAATCATGTAAAAGTAAACGCAAAAGTTCCTGGAAAGGGCAGGGGTGGCAGGAGCATAGCATACAGCACAAGCATTTTTCTACATAGAAATAGTCACATGCAGGTGGAAAGAAGAAGCATCACCTTGGTCAGCAAGTGAGAAGGCTTTCCTGCAATGTTTCGGAGAAGGAGGGAGGTTTCCCTGTCCAAATAGGAGTGCTTGTGCAGAAAGAAAGAGAAAGAACATAAGTCAAAAGAAGTCAGTAATTTTATAGTGTATTGACTATAGAAGATAAGCAGAGTTTAAGGAAAAAACACCTTGCATCCTCAGTTTATTTCCCTCCCATAAAATATGTGAATATTCCCAAATACTGCAAGCCTAACACTCTAGTATAACAGCAATTGTGCTAATAGAGGACATAAGTTTAACCTTCCCCTGTACAAAAGGTCACACAATAGAATTAAGAGGTTGCTTACCTGCTACCGGTTTCTTTTCTGCAAGAGACAACTTATTTTTAAAGACATTTACAACTATTACAGAAAACATCCACTTATTAACACTTAAAATCCCATCTAGTGTTCTAAAACTGAACATTCTGCTTCTTCTGTACAAACGAATCCACTAAATGACCATGGAGGCAAGGAACTGGTTTCATGTTTTCTGTATTGGCTGCTGCTTCCATAATTAACGAAAAAAAGATGTTACTATAATAATAGTAATCTAAACCTGGCTTACAATTAAGCTTTGTTTTCGTAAAAATAAAACAAAACAAAACACACTTATGTTTCTCTCGCCTTGCAGCTTCCAAGAAGTTGGGAGCAAATCCCCAAATTTCTCTCAGAAGAGAAATTAGCAGAAAATATTTAGTCTGTTCAAAAAGCAGGAGCAAAACTAGCAGCAACCCATAAGGATGATTCTCAAATAGTAAAAATCGATTAACAACAGAGTTGGAGAAATCTAGAGCATCTGCTACAGAGGAACAACAGAACTGTCATCCCACAGCAGTCTGCAGAACTGCCTAGTCACAAGTCTGCTACGGAAATTAGAGCAACACTATAGCACTAAACAAGAACACTGAATGTGCCTCATGTACCACCACTATACTGCAAATTTCACCCCTTGTGACTGCATCTGTCCCAGCTGTTATTTCTGTTGATTAGTGTTACCCTATATAGAACAAGGCACAATGAACAGGCAGACTACCATATTCTTTTTTCAGTAATTAAAAGCCAAATGCTGCATAGCATCACTGTCTTCTTCAGAGCCACAACAGGCAATAGTCTCCTGAAAAAGTTGGAGAGACTATGTCTATAACTTCATGCAAGGCAACATCAAATAGTTTGGTGCATGAAGTCCCTGCAAGGGGATTTTACTTGGTATGAGTGCCACGTTCTGCGATAAGTGTCTCTAGCACCCTTTAAAGGTTACAGCTCAGAAGAGACTCTACACAGCATCTCAAGTAAAACCTAGGCTCCAGCCGGTACTTAGCCACTAGCATAGACTCAGTATATGATGCAAACTGAACGAAGATTTTTCTGCCTGCAAATTAATTACCACGCGTTTCTACATCAAATGTTTCAGAAGCACAGCACTGCTGCCTAGTGACAAAATTTTCACACCTCACACACACAGAGCTTTGTGATGTAGGACCTGCAATGATTAAAAGACCTTGCACATTGATTACAGTAATTCAGAACTCTCAAAATAGGCTTCCTAACACACAATCATATCATTTCAACTTCAGTGTTTAAGAAACACTGTATTTAAAGAACAACTCATTTACTCGGCCTGAGGAGACACTAATGTTAATGATAGATAGATACAGTTTTGCTTAACTTGAAGGCAGACCTATCCTCTTTTTTCCCCCCTTCTCTTTAAAATGATTTCTGCTACATGTATTTTCACTCTGAATAGTATTCCTTCCTACACAGAAGTTGTAACTTCATACATACTCTAGGATTGTCTCATTACAACACACTATTACAGAACTTCCAGAATGTTACCACAGACCTTCCAGAATAAATTGGTTGGCTCAATCTAAACCTCAAAAACATAGATTAAAAAAAAAAACAAGGACAAGTTCAAGGAATTATTTTAAAGAGCTTCTGGATACACTTTGTCAGACATTGTGGATTCCAATAAAGATACATCACTTTCTTGTTGAATGGAGTTCTGAGGGCAAATAAATAAATAAATACAATGTACATTCATAGCCTCTTTAATAGGGGTTAGCCTAAGGAATCTCTCTTTAAAGGAAATACTATTCCCTAGAGAATATTTCTCTGAAAGAGAAGCTTAAGGGAAATTATTTAACCCTCTTCCTATCATTGCTTATTTTAGATGCTGCCATCTTGCATTGCAGTACAGTGGGACATTTCTCTGCTAAGGAGCTTTTATTCTATGCTAACACTATTTGCCAGACTTACAGCAACACATGAAAACTGATAACCAGAAGAAAGTTACTTTGGAAATTAAGAAAAATAGCATTTCATGAGAACAGGTATTGGCCAGTAAAATATCATCACAGCATTACTTCTCAAAATACCTATATGAATTTGAGTTGGAGAGCCATGTCTAGAAGCAGGAAAGCAACAGTTCTTTGCCATATGTCTCTTGACTGTGGCTCCTTACTACTGTGCAAAACATCCTGCAGTACTGCAGATACCCAAAAGTTAGAATGAGCAGAAGTAGTAAAGCAACAAGAAAGCCCGAGTTCTCAAGAATTATAGCTCAGCTAAACAATTATGTGCACCTAACTACAAATATGCATAAACCCAGAGAGAAAAAATCAGTTCATGAAGTAACTGGACACAAATTATTTTTAAAATTGCCTTTGTTTGAAGGCATAAATCTAGCATTCATTATCTTCAGGCCTAAATACTACAAGTTTATGAACCAGGTGTTGAATATTGCATTTCATTTTTGAAAAAACTCCACACAAAACTTCCCCTAAAAGATAAGCAGTTGCTTAAACCAGAAAGTTTTCCAATGCTGAAGTACTTTTTATCCTCATCAGGGACTCTAGAAGCATGAATTAAGTGTGTTCACATGTAACTTTTTGCCTCTGCTTGTAAGTATTTCTGCATTAAACAAGGGAAAAAACACATTATTTTAATCAATTTAGCATAGGTTTCTCCCTATTCCACTCTCACATCTTACCTGAAAGCCAAGTTCCTTCTAAATACATGTAGTTTTACTTTCCACATCGGTGAAACTATTGCCACTAAGCCTGTTAGTGGCAAAAAGCAGAAAGAACTACAAAAAGGTGTTTGCTAGAACAGATGCACCACCAGGAAATGAATGTACTTTTCAGATTTTCAGAATGTAATTACTTGAGCCATATAAGTAATGTTCTACATGGCCAAAGCTCACGATTTTTTCCCCAGTTACCCTTTTGATCCCTTTTTTTGAAAAGTTCAGTTGGTTATTTTAATTCTTGAGGTTCTGAGGTCTCATAATGAAAGACAGTTTCAACAACAACAACAAAAAAATCCTTAACACTAAATTTAGCGTATTAGAATTATTTCCTGCAGGGAGTAACTAATGGGTGGATTTTAAGAAATAAAGACATTTTTAGAAACTGTGATAAACTGAGCTGTCCAGTTAGCTTCTGAAGGATGCAAGCTATACAGCCCATCTTGCAACTGCAGCAGGCCATCACTTTGTAAGTAATGTGCCATATATATTTACTCATTAACTCATTTCTTCAATTCTTCTTGCAGATTTCTGCAAAAAGTTGACAAGCACATTTGCATCAAACACTGATCCATCTTTTTATTACACATCTGATCATCATTCAGTTCAGACAAATCTACAAAAAGTCCACCTCATTTACGAGCCAGAGTTGTATCTAATTCCTCTAACTTTACAGTAGGAGCTCAGAATACATGTACATAGGGATTGATGACAGTAAAATACCCTATGAAAGGTACTAAGTGTGTTTTTTACACTGTCACTTTTAAAAATAAGTGAACAAAAACTGTCAGGTCATCTTTTTCTTGCAATTCCCACACAATCTTCCATGGTATCTTATCTTACTGTTCTAATGCTTTAAGTATGTTAAATAGAAAAACTCTTTCCTGGTTAAACATTACCTGTAGGTTCGGACATCATTCACTCAAGGCCTATACAAAAGAATAACTTACCGCAGTACATAGAAAGCAGACATCGACACAAGTTCTGAGTGTCTTTTTAAGTATCTTGCCACATTTCTTGCAAATCTAACAATTTAACATTAAATCATAACATGTAGTTAAACCAGCTGGTGGCACTCTTGTGCCATTATTTTGGAGTTAATTAATGACAGCTGAGAATCTCGAAAAACCTTTTTAAAAAGCCTATGTCTGTTCACAATAAAACTGTGGGAAATGCAGTAAGCAGTCTCTGATAGAAAACTATATGCTTTCAAAGGTTTCTTGAAAAGTTAATTACTATAACTTTTGACTACAACAGTATGTTGAATTCTTTAGTATATTCTAATTGTTTAAGCTGATGTCTTTTTTCAAAAGAGAACAAGAATTAATTATGTTTTTATTTTTTTATATATATATATATTTTAAACTTCATCACAAAGGGGCCAAAGAGAGAAAAGAAGAACCCAAATTTTCCTTTGCGCATCCCTTGAGATTATGTTTTCACGTATAACATATAAGAACATAAAAAATAAAATGATGAGCATCTGATTTGAAAGATTACATTTTCTGCCTTCCTTTGCAGCAGACCGTCAAAAGCAATTATGCTTCAAAAGTAATAAAAATTGTTACATGTATTAAGTGTATTTCAAGTAGGCTTCCACAATTAATAACTAGAAAACAGATAATTATCAACTTAAGACTGAGAAGCATAATTTTAATGATTTATATGTTTACCTTACTGCGCTGTTGGGATACCAATGGATTCAAATTGAAATCACATGAGTGACGTGAGTTTTCAGGCAAACACATTCAACTACTGACAAACAGAAGCCATATATACATGTGATAGTAACTTACAGGAATCAGTTCAGCCTCCTCTTCTGTAAAATTAATGGGATGCTTGGACTGATTGATGAAATGTCCCATAAAAACAGAGTAAATATGCAGGAAAACACAGAGGAAAGGATGAAAAAGGGAGAGGAAAGAGGACAGAGAGGAAATAAATGGTTTATTCTCAATCAGAAGGAAGAAAAAAGCATAATAATGACAATTAATGGAAGCAAAAGAAACAAAACAACATTAAAAAGTTTCAGTGTCCCTTATCCCAATTTTGTATGTATAAATGATCGATGACTTAAAGACAATAAGAGATTCAGGTTTTCTGCTCCTATTGGAAGGGAAAGAGAATGTGATTATGTTCTCAACCACAATGAGAGCAGAACAGTCACTAACTTAAGTACTGAAGTAAAACATCTGTAGGCATACTCAGCAAAAAACAAACTCAGGTAGCATTCTCTTTGCACAGTCAATTGTTCACTAAGTCAACAACTGAGAGTTCAGTTCTCTAAATACTACCAAAAAAAAAACCAACAACGAAACTGTCACTTCATACAAGTTCATATAATTTCCACATAAGTTCCTTCATACAAGTAACAAAAATACACTTTGGTGACAATTACTAAGTATAACAAGAAAAAAGCGGATGCAGATTAATCTTACTTTCAGCTGGACATACTATACTAGAACTGAGCACTGTCATATTGCAAATTATTTTAAAATGAAATCCAGTGAAAGTATTTCTCTATTTCCCTAATCATTGATAAGAGAAGAAAGGAGAATAAAACAAATGCATGTCTCAGGACAAAATATTCAGTCATGACACAGACATGCTTTTAAGTGCGCAGTATCAAAAACTGAACATTTTGAACATTCTGCAGTACCAAAAATTGAACTACTAAAAAGCAGTGCCTAAAGATTTCCATTCAGTGTGCCATCTAATCCTTGCTCCTTTTCCTCAAAGGTACTAAAGTATTTATTTTCAGGCATATTAATTTTGGTAACTGAGTTACACAGGTTTTGACAGATGAAAAATGCAAAAGGGGTTATAGTTTATTCTTATCAAGACCTCAGAAAAGGAATACACCTATGCCACTTAGAAACTGAAGTGGCACCGTTAGATAACAGCTGCCTGATACTTCCATATACAAGACGTATTTTCAGTTGCTTATAAGAAAAAGTTTCCGAACTATAACCACTAAGAAATTTATAACAAATTTGTTATAGAATTATTACTAGTCATTTATTCAACATAAAGGTAGTTTTAAGGCTTTAATACCTCTGTATGCCTGACCACCTAACAGTTTATTGACAGGAGCAGCCTCACATACTGTCTCTTCTCTGCTGGTCCATTGGAAGTTAACCAAATTTGCCCGAGCAGGAGCTTTAAGAATTAAAACTGTAGTCCACAAAGCCTCATTGAAGTCCAGACCACCACAACTAAAAACCTCAAGGCTGCATCTTCTCACACAGAACTGCCCAGCCTTTCAAATGGGCTGCAAACAACTATCCTTGAACAAAAGACTGGTCAAGTTCAAGAATGCTTGGGCCCATGGGAGGAGAACACAGCAGCTTTCTTACAACTGCAATGCCTGGCTGCTGCACAGCATATTGGAGCCAGACACTGGAAGTGAGAATCCAGAGCTATTACTCTGTGCTCCCAAGAGACCATCCCTCCTGGAACTTGTGCAACTCTGTTTCACTGCAAGCAATTGGAATTTCCTAACTCCAAGCATTCAGTTCTGCAACTTAAGAAAAACACCACACAACGATCAGGACTCACAAAATCCTATTTACAGCAAGTATTCATTAACTGCTATGGACCCTTATAACTTCATTCCAGTTTTGGCTGTTACAGTCCAAGCCTATTGAAACTTGATGCAGTTTAAGAAACAGGTCTGTGGACATTCCAAATTAAGGAACTGCTGCACCATGTGCATGAGATGCACTATTTGTTAGTCCGCATGCCTCCCAGGTCAAGAGAAAGAGTAGACAGGTTGTGATAGTTCTACGTTGAACACAAGTTGCTTGGGACACAGAAATTTAAGGCAAAATTGCCACAGGAAAGTCAATCCTAATCCCAAGTCACGTGTTCACAGATCTCTCTTGCATGGACAACAGGGAGGATTATTTTGCAGGAAGACCAGAAAATTATTGGAATCACTAGGCAGCTGCACAAACACCAGAGCCAACACAAGGTGGGGCAAGACTGCTCAAATCAGCAGAAAAGACTTAAATTAGCATAAAACCAAACACAAAAATCACAAATAAAATTTGTCTGCAGGGATGAGGTTTCAAGCAGTGGAGTTTTCCCAAAAGAAAACGCAAAGCAGGAAAAAAGTAAAGCTGACTATTATTTCATGGAAAATAGTTGTCTGACCTGTCCAAAAAGAGATGCGTTAGTTAAGTTGGAAGACTAAAAGGAAAAAGAACAAAAAAAAACAACAACAGGCCTGTAGATATCAAATCAAGAACTCCATCACTAGAAGAGAATGGGTATGCACAACTGTGGAGTTAAAGTCACAGATACACCTTTTCAGTTAGGAGTAGATAGGACATATGGACAACCTTTATTCTTTAAAACAAACAAAAAAAACAAACACTGATACTGCTGGCCTAAAATCTACAACTTTTAAGAACATGAGGTTAAGCAAAATATCCAAAATAAGCAAATGTAACCAATGTTAAGAGTAAGTTTTGTTAACTATAACTGAAGATTTGTCTTTCTATTGACAGGCAACTATTATTATGCTATTACAGCCTAACTGCTAACCAGGATGCGCAAAACTGACACAACCAGAAGGCCAGTTCTCAGTTGTTTGATCATAACATGAAGTCTTATTTTGTGGATTCAAATTCCTTTACAAACCTGTCAAACCCTAGCTTTCATCTTATATTATAACAGTATATGCAATTGAAGTAAACTGCATAAATTCATTTCTCCTCTTAGATGTTGATGTCCCTTAATGGGCTGCTTTGTTCTCAATTTTTGTCATCTGTTCCAAATTTTCTAAAGACATCCTATCTCTTTTTGAAACATATAATGAGATGAGAGAAAAGGGAAAGAATTTATCTGGGTTTCAAGTAGACTGGTATATCTACAAGGAAATTCAGTTTTAAAAGCTCCACTAATTAATTGCAACTTGTACAGTGATACCTTCACTGTGAACTGCAACTGAAGTGTACAACTCCCCCCAGTACTTTTGATAAAATTTGGTGAAATCATAATGCAAGCATTCTCATTTTCTTTGCAGATTCCATAAGCATGTGAAAAAATTAGGTGCTAGTTTTGCAGATGTGGAGATAAGCATATTAACAATCATTGTGTTCTAGCATAACATAGGAAGAAAACTGTTTTACTAGCATGCATAAACTTCACAATGAATAACTAAGCGTATTTAATTACCAGAACACAAAATATTGCTTACATTTCATAAACTCATAAGTTTATCTCAGACGATATTTTGAAAGCCTCAAAAGAACTGGCAGATGAAGAGATGCTTTACATGTACTTCAACATTTGAAAACTGGACTGCTCACACTTCTTACGCCAAAAAAAAAAAAATGGAAGCCAAAGTAACGCTTCAATGATAGATACACAATTTTCCTTTACTGTTGACTTATTAAAAAACAATTGGTGATTTTATAAATGTAAAAAAAAAAAAGAAGAGAGAGATGGTCTAATTCGTGTTTCAAATCAAGTCTTTCCATTGACTATTTTCAGCTCAGAAAAAAGATAACTGTAAACACTCCAGAATACACTTTTTGTGTACAGAATTAACAACATAACTGGCAGATTTTTTGTCTTTAAAAAAAGAAAGAGACAAAACAACAAAACCAAACAAAATGCCAAAACAAACATCTACCCTTCCTTGTTTGTTGTGTATCAGTGACTATTCTCAGAGAGGCAAGTATCTTTAGTGTCTGCTAACCACACAAAACACGGAACATAAGGACGACCACTCAAACTTCAGGCTCCCAAATACAAGAGCCAATAATGCCCTATTACTCCAAGAACTAAAACAGACCACAACTGTTCTTTAAATCAGCTACAAATTATACGTGAGGTTCAGCAATCCAACTCTATTTTAAGACACTGTCGCCTACCAAAGACTGTGTTGCGGACTTCCTTCTCTGCATACAAGAACAGTTATAATTACATTTTCATGCAATGTAACATTTAGTAATCACACACAAAAGATGACCTACGATACTCTGCTATGGTTAGGAAAAGTTTCTGTACTCCTTCATGCAACAATCATTATCTTAGTGGCAACTAATATAAACTATATAAGAATAAAGGCAAAATTGTTGCAGAACTATTTTTTTTTTCCTTGCACCCATTTTTAATTTTCCACTTTGTCCCACAGGAGTTTCTGGCCAATGCAGATCTATGTATGCTCAGCTTGCATCACAACCATTACTAACTGTCAGGCCCCCAAAGCTCCCTTCATTTCCCAAAAGAAACATTACAGTTTACTCTACAGTTCCTTCTTCTCTGCCAAGTGAAGCAAAAAATCCTTAGTTTTAATGAACTAGTAATCCCTCATCATAATTTTCAGTTCTCCTACATAATGTATAAAGCTACAATGAATTTAAGTAAAAAAAAAAAAAAATCAAGAAAAGTATTTTTAAGATTACTACCCACTAAATTATGGATTATCTTTGCAAGTCAAGACCTCTCAGCTGCGTAAACTGGGTTACATACAAAAAGAACTCCATCGTGTTGGGAGGGGAGTGGGGGGACAGCGTACTGTGCCAGACCAGATGGCAGACTTCAAACTTATCTTCAACCTCTTCACTGAGCATATGCAGGACAGTAACAATGACTGTCCATGAATAGGCCCTTTCACCATCAGGCATAACTAGCTACACAAGCATGATCAGCACAGTTCTCTATTCTCTCCCTGCTACTTTCTCCTCCTTTTGCTCTAGCACAACTTGCTGAACACAAACAATTTCTGGATGGCAGAAACAAGGAAACAGTCTGGGTGGGTAAAGGGGACGAGTTAGTCATATGGTCATCACTTCCCTTCCTTTACTCACACTATTAGATCACTCGTTCAGCTGTACATTCAAGCAATATCTGACAAGAAGAAACTAAGATTTAAAGTGTATGCCTCTTGTTACACAATTAAAAACACAGAATGCATTAAGAAAGGGAGAAAATTAAACAAATCATTAAGACAAATAAAATAATGATTTTAGGCAAGTCAGAGAATTCCAGCCAACTCTTCTGAAAACAGCACAGAGACAAATTCAAGAAAGATTGTCCTGGCAAACAGCACCACTAAGAGTAACTATCTGTCATGATACTCAAGCATCTTACCCACCAGTAAGTTTCTACAGTGCAGACTTGCAAGGAGGAAGAGGAGGAACTCACTGAAATGCCTGCCCAGTTGCCCACGCAAGATGATTTGAATAATACGTTACTACTAGAGAGTGTATTCCTACTGTCCCTTTCAGTCTCCAGCTCTTGGCTACATATTTCCCGGCTGCGCACATCAGAACCCCTGAGCCCATACAATTCACCCAACTAACACAGAATGAGCCCCAGAATAAAACTAGGAAATTCTGGTCTAAGTACCAGTAAGCACCAAAGGTGGGGCAAAGGAGATGAAATCATGTAGGACTGTGGGTGGGGAAGGGAGACAGGAAGGGGAAGGCATACCCTTCCATCATGGGGGGGGGGGGGCTATGAATTGCAGCCTCTTTCCATTAAATCTGTCTCTAGTGTTAGTCAGAGCATACCAGGCTACACATACCTTCAGTGTGCCAACTGCATGGCTGTTGTTTTACAGCATTTCCCTACATTTCCAGGTAAGGGGGCTCAAACACACTGCAGAATTACTTTCTAAGGTAGAATACTGAAGTTATTAACTGCTAAACTTAATTTCCCTTTTCAGGCAAGCATTTCCTCCTATTGGAACAGCCTTCCATCTTACTTAATGTTATTTTCTTCCTCTAGTGTTTCCAATAAAACTAAGTTGCAGAAGAAAAGATGACTTCTTTAAGTCCCTATAATGCCTGGAGAGGACAGAGGATCACTCAAAAGGGCAGAGCTGCCAAATCACTGACCTCTTTGATAACAGCCATAGCAGAAAAGAAAAAAAATTAAAGGTCAGCTCAAGTACAGACAGCCACCAGGAAGACAGGCAAAAAGAAAAGGGCTAACTTAAAACACTACATGGGAAAAACAAATTCAAAACACATCTGTTGAGGTCATGAAGTAATAGCCTCTCCCAGTTTCTAAATTTAAAAAGACGTCTTTGCTGTTTTTTTCCCCCCACTACATTGGCAGTAGGTCTTCTCCAAATACTACTCTCTTAGGCATAGTGACGTCCTCCACTAGAAACAGAACCACTGAGACAACTGCCTGGGTGGGAGGGCAGAATTCAGCCCTACCAGGGAAAGGTGTTTTGGTTCAGAACCCAGACATGAAGGTGAATAGAACCCTTCACAATAGCTTTTCATGCACTAAATGAAATAGGAAAAGCCTCCTTTTTTGAGCCCAGCGATTCTACCAAGGAATCCTTGTATTTCTGCCCATTTTTAAGATGAATTTGATTGAGCCACCACCATCTCTGTCAAAACTCCAGACCAATTTGATTTTGCCCTTTTACCAGTATTGAGAAAAAAAAAAACAACAACTCACAGTAAGACGTCCCATCAAGTAACAGATTTAATATTGAGTAGTTAAATATCATTCCTGTAAACCTGGGTAGAATTTCTCAGAGATGAACACTTTCCCCAGGTTACTAAAATTAAAAAGACCAGACAGTAAAACACAGCAGCACTATTAATGACTGCGAAGGTTTCTGCTCTCAAGAAAAAAAGAGCAGAATTTGGCTCTCAAGTTACCGACACTTTTTGATTACCTCCTTTAAAGGAGTCAGTCTTATCAATTTATCTGGGCAAGGAAACAATAGCCACATTCTTATGAGAATCAATCACTGGGTTTACAAAGCCAGCTCTCAAATGTCTGTGAGAAACGCTTTGGGGGGCAGTTCTTAGCCTCACAGTCAATGGTTAATTGCTCAGAAAGCAACTGTAACACTTGCAGCAATGTGGATTAGCCTCTTGTGAAGACAAAGCAACTTCTTGACTTCTTCCTGTTGGCTCAACAACACCAAGACACTTAAGTGAAGCTGGTGGTGTGTTGATTACCCATGCCGTGCAAAGAACTGAAAAATGTGAGACTACAAGGGTAATCTAAACTGATGCCTCAGCATATCACTCCTGAAGTAAGAGACTGAGATCTGGAGTGATACCTGCAAAATCAACTGCCACATCTTGCGTTTTTAAGAAGTGAGTAAGTTTCAAATTTTCCTTATGCCATGCAAATTGCAGAAGAGAGTAATTAAAGTAAAAAATAATTGCTGCCTGAGGAGAGATAAAAATGCATTGTTGTAGAATATTAAGCATTAAAAAAGACATCCACATGACTAATAGTCACGGACCAAGAAGAAAAGTAAGTTTTATCACAGAAAGCGACTGAAAAACAAACAGCAATATAAAACCAATAACAGTCATGGATTGGGCTCCAGCTCTTACAGCAATAACGCATAGGTTTGCATTTTAACTTTCTAAAGAGAAAAGGATACATTTCTATGTACTGTTGTTTTGCTTCACTCAATACAAATCACCAATTAAGAAAAAAAATTGATCACCAGCTTTTAAGAAAAAAATACCTCGGCTGTAAGTGTAAATCACTTATTTCTCACTATTTCAAATAAAGATTTGAATTTAAAAACATGACCTTGATGTGTTGATCATTAAACTGACATTCACTCTTTAGATCAGATGAACTTTTGCTACAGATGGGTAGAGGCACACTTTCAGCACTGCTCACTCAAATTAGTGTTAATTATTGACTAGAATAAACTCAGCTTGTTCCAGTTTTCTCTTTGGTGGAGAGAAAACTGAAAGAGAACATTCACATTAGTACAGCTGACTTCTGAATAACAGGTCAGGTTTCTGTTTCAGAGTATTCCTCCTAGATAGCTTCTAGTTTACTTCTTGTGTAAGTTCTTAAATTCTGTGGTACATTTTTCTTATTTCCTCACACAACTCACCAGCACTTTCAGTGTTCCTCAAACTTTTTTTTTTTTTTTTAACTGAAAAATTTGCTCTCATTATTAACCAATACAGGGGCACCAAAATCTCAAAAGAACACCTGCTATTCCTGTATCACAGAGCAATTTTTTCTGCATTGGGCATTGCTTTGAAGTGTTCTCTCAGCCATATATTAAATAAGAGTATTAAGAAGTGGCACACTGCTGGTATAGTTTCAGATACTGGAAGCGCCTACCTGGAACATATGCAGTAACTTAAGTGTACTGTAACAGGCACATAGACTTCTTGTTCAACTTGTCATTCCTTTTTTCCAAACTGTAAACTCCTCATATTTAAATTAAAAACAGTATGTAAGATTTGCTAAGAAAAACATCATATATTGAACATTAAAATCCCTGAGTAGCTTTGGAAGAGGAAGAGAGATTGGAAGTCTTAACCCCCACTCTCCCCCCCAAATTCTTTAATAAGATTCCTTGCAGACAGATAAAACAAAGAAGTAGCCACACTACATGTAGCCCATACAAAAAGCAATCCTGATCTCTAATCAACCCCATTGTAACTGAACATGTTTAACATGGAGTATCACCATAAGAGGAAATAAAAGGAAAACTACTGAAGAAAACAAAAAATGATTGAATTAATGACACTACCTCAGTGATTGGTTGCCCTTGTGATGTCAAGTCCAATTCCTGAGGCCTTGTCACCTTATCGATATCCAAGGAGTCCATGCTGGAAGCTGCAGAAGTAACGCTGGAACGGGAGGAGTTACTGATTGAGCGCACCTCAGCATCACTCACTGTGCCAGCAGATGCTGTCCTCCTGTGCTGAGCAGTAACTACTGGTTTGGTGTCTTCTTCAACTGACTGCTGGGCTGCCTCATCCATGCTCAAAGAGGCTTTCTCTAACTGTGCAGTGATGTCATCCAAAGAAACGTTGGCATGTGATGGTTTAGTCACCTTACCAGATGAAGAGGATAATCCTTTCATACTGCTGTGCTTAGTAGAGGGTCGGCTAGCAGGTGGTTTCTGAGCTTTGGGTTCTGTGGCAAGGCGTTTCACTGCAGTATTATTTGCTGAATGAGACCCAATGCTGCTGAGCTCCTGCTCTATGGAACAGAGATCAGCCATGAGGGCATCTAGATCCACAGTCTCCCCCTGATTCAGGGCTTCTGCAATTGAGAAGAGTTTTTAGTATGCAAAGGTTTGTTACATGTTTGTTTGGAGTAAGAGGGCAGAGTAAATTATTTTCATTCCCCATCTATGCTGCAAAATCTCTCCTCACTGCTAAACACAAATTTATTTGCACTAACACTCTTGAGTGGTCTAAGAGCAATTAAATGACCGTTTAGGTTAAATACATTTACTGATAAGCGAAACCTGTGAATTATTAGATTACATCTGAAAGGCCCAAACTGCTGTCACACAAACAGAATCTAAAAATGTTCTTGTATATACCATGCTCTAGCTTTTTTAAATAAGTATACTTTTCTAAGCACATCTGACATTGCTTTAAAAAAAATGCAAAATCCTATATGAATAATCAAACTTTTAAATTAAAGCTTCCCATGTTACAACCACAGGAAGTTATTTTAAGACAAGGAAAAGTGCACTTTTAGTTTAATGTGTAAACATTCTGTAGCTATATTCCTGCATTCTGTCCCATGAAGCAAGATGCTTTTTCTTTCTGTTTAACATATACATGTTAATTCTTTCATGAGACCAGATCCCAGAACAAGTATTTCTTTAGAAACGCTAGACTACAATTCTTAGATATTAGGTGCTGTAAAAGTTACAGTTTGGGGATATTTCAAATTCTATGCCGTAAGAAAGCAAGGCCTTTAAAGCAAACGTTTTCATTTCAGCTACAAGTGTATTTGAATGCTCTATTAAACTATTTTATGATGACCTTATTTATGGCTGAAATAGTTATTTCCCTAAAATATTATTTGAAAGAGTTAAATAGTTCAACAAACCATTTAGATTGTACATGGAGAAACGATATGAGAAGTTGGCAAGATTAGTTTCCTGATGGAGAGGTGATCTCTTCACTGGTGCCACAGGTTTGTCTGTATCCAAACTCTGAAAAGGACAAGAAAAAGAGCAGAGTTAACTTTGACAATGAAATGTTCAAAATTAAATTGATTTTCTGTAAGATCACATTTTCAAAATCTTCTGACACATCAAAAACTTTTTTTTTTCAGGCTTTAGATTGAAACTGTCACTGTATAACAGAGGTTTAGTCAGTCAATGAAAAGATACTCAACAAGTTCTGTTGTTATAGAATCACACAAAAGCATAATCCAAATGCATTTTTCAGTGTTTACATACCAGCTCGTTTTGAAACACAGCTGACTCACCTATAACAACAACCCTGCAGAGAATTCAACAGAGATCTAAACAAGTTCAAACTTTGGCACCCTAAGAAACTTGGCATCATTTGTGGAGAATTCTGTTTTATTAAAAGGGATTTTAGTATCTTTATATTAAGATATATATTATATCTTTAATATATTTTTAATATTAAAAATTTTTTTTTGATTATTAAATTCAGACATTTCTATCAGTAAGTCTTTCCCGTGAAAAATGATGAACTGTGAAGGCAACTTCAAGCTAAACGTATGACATTTTTTTTTTAAAAAACTACTACTGGGAAAAAAAGACAAGACCTCTTTCCACCTGATATATCTAATTGTTATATTATCAAGGCTGATACGAACATAGAACTTTACAATAAACACCAGCATTTTTGTATATAACAAACAATAGGGCAACATGATCCAGCTGGTGACCAAAGAAGTACGTAATGCCCCAGAAGTGAGAAGTGTTATGTGGGGAATTATCTCCTACTGTTGCTTGACAGAGCAGCAGAGTGTGTGAATTAAAGCAAAATTTATATTAATAAAGCTTTCCTGAAGACATGTTTGTCCGAAAGAAAAAAGCATCTTCTAGCTCCAAAAGAATTAAGTTTCTCACCTGTGTTTTTTATTTCAATTTCCCACATCTTTACCCACGCCTTTGTTAAAATAAAATGCACTAATCTTTTTGTTTGAGCATTTATCTTTGCTGAACCCCTTTCCTTCTCACCTCAGGTTGGCTTGAACTTCAAAAAATAATTTTATCAGGAAGTCAATCATCACTTAATGAGCAGAAGCCAGTAGTGCAGCACTGTTTTCCATCATGTGGAAAAAACACCTGTAGTACCTCTGATGGAGCTTACATATGGCCCCACACAGAATGGTTGAAATGTATCAATTAGAACCCTAGAGGCAGCAATGAAACTTGAGATAAAGGAAGCAAGTTAGGGCTCATTCCTTCCAACTAAACCCACAGACTGACTCAAAACACCTCCTGAAAAGCAAATAAATTCTGGTTAAAAGCATTCTTAAATTCAGTAAAACACATTTTAGATAATTATGTTAGAGCACGTCCTTGGAAATAATTGGGATATGCCCTTACTAATTATGAGAGCACATTCTCCATTATGCATTATGATATTAAAATACCAGTTCAGACCACTGCTGAAAACTGAAACAGCACTAAAAGATTAGTTCTGAAAAATGAGAAGCAAGGTAAGACTTCATTTATCCTGCACCATATAGCAGGATAATCTTACATCAACTGCTAACGCACTCTGTGACAGACACTGTTCACATGTGCTGCAAATTTTGTGGCTGTTTTATAGTGCTTTTATTAAGCAAAGGGCTAAAACAAGCAAAGTGAATTGAAATGATCTTAAGACATCTCAACAATTACCCATCTTTTGAAAAACATTGCCATCTGGAAAGGAATCTGGGTCTTACTTTCAATCCCTCCTAACACACACTTAGGAAATCTAAAAAGGAAGTTAAAGTTCAAGGAACTAGGGGACAAAAAGCTTTTTCACCCATTGCTCTCAGAGTGCAGCTGATAAATAGCAACAAATGATGAAACTATACCAGAATGTACTTTGGAGCTCATGACCTGGAATCGTGCCCCTTTACTGGGACTTCAGCTGCATCAAGATACAACCACTTTCCAAACAAACTAACTGAGACACAACTGACTGTATTCATTTGTTTATACAAAACCATATGAGGTCATTAAAAGTTTGGGGGGAAATGTCACTTCTAAGTAGTAGCAAAAGGCAGAATTGCAACTGTAGGGCTATGTTGCATACTGTGTTGCATGGTGATACCGATGTGCGAAACAAATGCGTGTCCTTCCCTTAATTACCTGTTAGTATGTTTTAAGCATTTTAAATGGATCAGCACACAAACCTAGAAAATCTATGTTAATAGTAAAGCTGAAAGTCCAAAGTAAAGCACACTTATATTTCTAGGCTGCTCATAGCTGCTAAAACGGAGCAAAGAACTAAAAGTCTAAAACCAATTACCCATTGTGCTTATCTGTGATGCTCCTCATTTGAGATAATTTACAGAGCCCATGCCTTCAAAACGGCTCTCATTTACCATTAAAAATCCTTTGCAGGGAATTAAAGACAAAAAGAAATATGATATACAGATTTCTTTCACACCATCTTCCATTCATCTGAAGGGGAAGATTCTTTACTGACCTGTACACACTGGTTCAGAAAAAAATAAAATACGTTCCCCTGTTTTAAAAGTGTTACCTACATACAGAACTTGCAGGCAGAGCCTTTAAACAGATGATAGCAGACATGAGTATGAATGTGAAGCACTGCTGTATGATTTTCCTTCAGTCTCTGCAAAACACGATTCCTCCTTTTTCCCCACACTTAGAGCAAACAAGTGATCAAAAAAGCCCCTTCTTCTGTTGCTTATTGAAACTAAGGGTATCACACCTTTGCTTAAGTCTAAGTGACAAAGAAAATGATGAAATACACTATTCAGGAGGACAGCTCACGTGACTGAAAAAAGAAAAAAAAGCATAGCAGTTGGTCACAGAAATAGATAATCACCTCAGGAGTATGGCATCTCATTCTAAATGCAAGGTGTTTGTTGTTTTTTTTTTTCCCCTCTCCTAACAGCCCTAGAAAGAACAAAATGCAAAGAGAAGACGCATCAGCTGCCTATCTGATGACAGAAGAGTACTCTGGGTGTATCACATTATCTTTGCGTATTATCAGTGACACCATTCACAGTTTTTCTTATTGCTGTTCAGGTACAACAAATAAATTCAATGCTGCTGTGGCTGGACAACGTCTAACTACACATTTGGAGATAAAGCCCAGCTTTAGTCAGCTAAAGGCAGTGTTTCTCTACATATATGTACATGACAAATAACTGATTCCATAGCTTTCAGAAGGGATCACACCCTTTGGGAAATGTTGAACTACCAGATTGTGAAAAATTAATTTAAGAACATTGAGATAGGGAAAATAACCTAACTTCGGAATCTTTACAGTGTACTAAGTTGGTCACATGCTGCAGCGTGTCTTGCTTCAAGTGGCAGTGCCAAATAACTGAGGAAGAAAGGCATCTTTTGCCCTTGCACAATAAAACTGGGGATGCAGGCTCAGCCCTAACAAAATGCCATAGCTGAAAAAGCCTTAATTGCTATTCATCTGAAATGTTCGATAGGATCTTTGTCAAAGCTAAAGTAATTAGTATCCAATGAAAAACATGTAATACTTCTAAAGAATTATTATGTGAGATGACTGAAACCTTCCTAACCTGTGTGAGTTTGTCTAGTTCTCCCAGCCAGGCCCCAAACATCTTGTCCAGATCCTGATCTTCCTTATCACTATCTTCTTCCGCACCATGGTCAAGCTCTTCATCTGATAATTGCTCCATCTGGAAAAAACAAAAACATTGATTTTTCAGGAGTCTAGTAGTTTACACCAGTTTTCTTTCCATAAGCTTCATAAAAATCACACATTCAGTAAGTTTATTACAATGCTTACACCTAAAGACTAAGTATGAAAGCTGCAATGGCTAATTGCAAAGCCAGGCTTACAGCCCAGTTTTGTCTGAATCATGCAGGAAAAGATGAAGAACAAAGTCCACAGTACTTAATACACCATCAGAAGTTACTTCATGCTAGCCTTGAATATGCACTCATTGCCAGCTATTGTTGGCAAAGTTAACTGACTTGACGTTAAAAAATCCATCTCTGTACAAGGAATTCAGCTGACCACAGTTGAGCAACACCATTCAACGCACAGGAAGTGCAGTCTCACTATATTACAAATAGCTGACTCCACACATCTGTAAACAGAAATGCTTAAACAAGCCACAGAGAATGCCAGCAATGAGGCAGTTTAAATTCTGGACGCTCTCCAGATCATTTCAGTGATACTGCACAGTTTTCACCTGACAAAGAAATCCCTCCCTGCACACAAAGGAACACCATTACATCTAGATGACCCTCCTTCCGTTGAGAGTCTGAGTGACCAAGATAAAGACATAACATTCTCCAAATGTTACCTGTTATGAATTCAAAAGAAGTTAATTTTTTTTTTTTTTAAACAAGTCTCACTTCCCCAAACATGTCCTCCAAGCCCCTACTATAGCACTAAGACTCAACGTGCCTTCTTGGGTATACCCATGCTGTAAAACCCAGGATTTGTTCAGAAGGAAAATTTACATAGATTTAAACATATCTTGGGGAAAATGACGTAGGTAGCAATTTGGGAGTGATTGGGCACTACAAAAGAGTAAATGCTAATGCTACAGAACATCATCAAGAGCTACACAAACAAATCATGGTGTGCAGTAGAGCTTGATTTGGTCAACCCATGGATTACATAGCAATTTACTACACAGCTTTCAAAAGCATTCGTTTACATTTTTTAGATTTGAAAACAAACTTTGTAAATGTTACTCTTCAGGAAGAACCTTGGTTTGAAAAACTTCACAGTGCTGCAGAGTTGATCTGATGAGAGAGATTACTAAAAGTGATAAAGGTGGTCTCAGAAAAACTGTTCAATCAGTTTTAGGCTATTTATGACAATAGATCGTGCAAAAAAAGACCTTTATGATCTAAAACAGCCTTTATTTCTATTCTTACATTGCTTACATTTCACTTTACATTGATAAAATAACCAGGCAACAGGAGATTTCAGAAGTGATCTACCATTCTGAGGTCAGCAGAAGCCAGTAACTCCCACAGATGCAAGATACTGCCATCCAGTTGCTCTAGGCAAAGCAGCCTCTGCCTCCTACTGAGGCTTTGCTTTTGTGGGAGAACAGAATGCAGATGCTTATCTTAAAGGGGCAATAATATTAAAGCTGACATGGCATACTGCAGCATAGATGCAAAACAGATTAAATTCACCTTCTAAATCTCATTTCGTCCAACACCTGCTCTGAGACCTTTAAGTACTTCTGAGACTCCAGGGAACACAAGAAAGCTCCTCTAAACATCTACGAGCAACATTGAACACCCCCCCCAAAAAAAAAAGAAAAAAAAAACAACAATATGCTCATGTAATAGAGCAGCAGCTTTTCACCAAGACTACACCAGATTTTATGTTTCTTAAGGCAGGCATACCTACTATTTCTCCCCATTCCCCAAAATTCCCCATCTTTTCCGTGATGTCACCCCAAAAACAAAAAAGTAGAGACAGCAGGGCAACAGCAACTCATGTTCTACCTAACCTTCCACAGATCAAACAGAAGCTGGATTCCATTTTCATGCTCCTTCAAAAGCTTTGCCTTATTAGTTCTTAGGTTTTTATGTGGACCAGAAACATCATAAATTCAAGCCAAAACACATTATACCTAAGGTGACATGGCAAACAAACTACAGTAACTGTTCTCATTTGAGAACATAGCATTTCTCACCGTCTAGATATGCCTGATGTTTAGAGCTTTCATTTGAAGGCTAAGGGAAGCTATTAAACGTGTGCCTTAGGAAACATGACTATAAACGGGTGAATCAAACGGAAACTGTGATATAAAACAGAGCGAGCTCTATTTACAGAGATTCTACATGGCTAACCTTTCCCTCTTTCAGCTGTTTTCACCCCTTACTTTACAGTTCGATTAGACTATTTCTGCAGCGCATTCATTCTACGGCACTGTTCATAACTAATCTGTTCAGTAAGAGAGAAGTTCCTTCTTATTACTAAATTTTTCTGAAGATCTGAGCTGTGGAAAGAAACCAGCATTCTCAATTTCCCATAAATTGTTGCTTTAGCTTTTTTAACTTGGCAGCAGAGACACTGCTTCAGTTCCAGTTACTCTGAAGACAGAATTAGCAGCCTAAAGAAAACTTTTACAAGTAAAGTACTGTGTCAGCAAGCCTGGCACTAAACCCAGTACTATTTGCCAGCTCCTTGTAGTCCCCACCCAAGCTTTCTAACGTCAGCTGCATTTCCTATAAGCCTGTCAATGTTTGCTTGCAAAAGGCACACAGAGGATAGTGTCTCACTTAAGAAACAGCTAATATTAACTTGCTAGCTCTGTAAAATGAATCTCTTAGCACAAGCCCTGCTACTGGACTAAAATCAATGAATTAAGACAGTAACAAAATGTTCAACTAACAGTTTATGAACTTGCATCAACAGAAATCAAAATAGTAACAACTCAAAAAGAGTGCATGTTACCATTTAAAAGTGACTTTTTTTTTTCCTTTTTACAGAAGTTTTCTCACTGCAGTTGAACACAGCATACACCATACTTCAGCAAATTAGGACCTAACTGGCAGCTATCACACCTTTCTAAGGCTATAACACTTCTATTCATAACAAGAAAGTAAAATGACAGAAGCTTAAAAGTTTTTCTTTGTTTTTTAAAGGAATCATTTAGAACGAAACTCAATCTAACAAATGAAAAAAGTAAGCCACTTACATATCTAAAGCATTTGCAGGTTAGCAGAATTAAAGTAGCTCATGCTTTTGTTTAGTTCATACCAGGTGAAGTGACAAAGTAACAAATTCAAGCCATCTTTCAGCACTTCACATCCATTCATTTCAAGTGTATCTCAAAACAGTATTTAATGAAAATGAGCAGCTTTCAGATTTTATTGAGCCTTCTACAATTGAGAATAATATTTTTAAATGTGCCCACTTAAATTCCCAGCTAAAGATGCTCATCTGTTCTTGACTAGTCCAGGGCAAGCTCATCAGTAAGAAAAGCTGAACAGACTCAGCAGGACAAAGCAAGCAAGTCAGAGAAAACAATGAAGACTCACTGCCAATTTGTCATATGTACAGCAAGGCTGTGACCTGTCCTCCCATGTAATACACACCAAGTTAAATGTCTTCCAGGAGCGTGACCACAATCCTAGTTGTATCCCATGTATGGCATAACAAGGCTCTCTACTGAGGTTTTGTTGCTCAAAGCTGCTGGCCATTCCCCCCCTGAACATTGTCAGTGACTAAATCTTATATTCAAACACCTACATAACTACAGACACTGGAAGTTTTAAAAAACCTCAATCAATTTAACTCTGGCACTTGATGTCAATGACAATCCAACTCAATTCTACTTTTAAAGTGATATAGCATTGACAACTTACCAAATAAGACTCTTTAAAGATCTGAATATTGCTCCTCAGTAAATGCCTGCCAAGCAATGATTAAAGAAAGATTCCTTTTCTAAAGGTTTATGCTAATTCTCATCTTAACCATTTTCCTATTTGTATCTTAGCAAGATTCATCTCAACAAGTTACAGTAAATATGATTCTTATTTTTTTATTTCTTTTCAGTGTTTCTCTGGCCACCTCTTTTGCTTTTCTCCCAAAACACACAGAATAGGGCTGGCATGAATAACTGATACACTAATAAGATGATGGATGTTAAGCTGTAAATACTGGCCAGACCAGATGACCTTGGAGGGCTTTTCCAACCTAAATGATTCTGTGATCGTGTTTTAGGTGCCCTCTACATGAACATTTTTCATAGCAGCACTTTGCCTCTCATTTTTCCAGAAAATAAACAATAACATATAAAAACAACCTATGAAAATAATTTGATTTTGGCCTTTTTCTCCTTTTTTTTCTCGCCATGTAAGGACTTTACTTCTTAGCATCTGTCATTCTGGGACACCCAAATAAAGGTCCAACATGGTGTAGTCTTCTCTATGCAAGTAAGACCACACTTCTGTGCAGGAAGCCTATGTACCATCTCTTACCCACTGTGGTCTATATCAGACGGTTTTAACTGTTTAAAATGTTTTTTTAATAGGCAGACCCATAATCTGCTGTATGTCTGCTAGTTTTCTAACTGTTCATTAGGTTTGTTCACCTTTAAATGCATGTAGCCTAGTATTCTAGAATTATTTTATGAAAAAGTAATGAGGCTTTCATTAGAAATCAACCGTTAGAATATTTAATCATAATCTACTATTTTATTTACACAGACAAAAACTGTATCCATCATTAGGAAAAAAAGGAAACATTTACTCTTTCAAGCTGGTTCTTATGCAATCTGTTGAAGCTTTTAGTATGCTAGGATGAGCATGAGATGATTTACTATCATGAAAATATAAGGAAAGATGAAAAGCCCAAGATTTTTCAAATCTACCTTTCTGACATTTTCAAAAAGGGACAGCACAGTAGAATTCTGAAGCTAACAAATCTTAGTCATCAGAAAGCAACAGCTGATCTTTGGGACAGCAGGAAGTTGTAATTCAAAGTGTTTCTAGCGTCTTTCACTGAGATCCCATTCTGCTGACTTGGGCTTTGAGATGCTAGTTCCTACCTTCAATCAATCCAGTTCAAGGCAATAGGAAGTTTCATTATAATGATATTTCCTTATAGTAAGGACATGCAGCACTGAAATAAAACTTTGTAAAAAACACATACTATGGGATTTGTCTGTTCCACACTTTGTTAACAATAGAAAGA